GGCTAAGAAAATGATACAAACAAAATCAATGAATCAAAGAGTTGATTTTTTAAAGAATAAATAAAATTGATAAACCCTTAGCCAAACTTAAAAAGAAAAGAAAAGACTCAAATCCATGCAATTGGGAATGAAAAAGATGAATTCAAAACAGGTCCAGCAGAAATCCAAAGGATCATCGATACCTACTATGAGAATCTGTATTCTAGTAAAATGGAAAACACAGAAGAAATGGACAGATTTATACATACATATTAATTTCCAAAGTTGAATGAAGAAGATATAAAAATTCTAAAACCCCAATTACAATGAGAGAAATTGAAAATGTAACTAAGAATTTATCAACAAAGAAAAGCCCAGGTTCTGAGGGATTCAATGCTGAATTCTACAAAAATATTTAGAGAAGAACTACTGCCACTACTTTTTAAACGTTTCAGTGAAATTGAAAGGGAAGTGATACTTCCAAATTCATTCCTGGAAGCAAGTGATACTTTGATTCCAAAACCAGGTAAAGACCCAATCAAAATTAAGAACTACAGGCCAATCTCACCAATGAACATAGATGAAAAAATCCTCAATAAGATACTGGCAAACAGAATACACAGGGTCAACAAGAAGATCATACATCCTGACCAAATTGGATTTATCCCAGGATTGGGAGGATGGTTCAATATATGTAAATCAATCAGTGTAATAGCATTATATTAACAGAGTCAAGGACAAAAACCATATGATCATCTCTACAGATGCAGAAAAAGCATTAAAAAAATACACCATGCATTCATAATGAAAATCCTGCAGAAAATTGGAATAGATGGTTTTTAATCTCAACTTGATAAAGTCTATATATGAAAAACCAACAGCCAACATCATACAAAATGGTCAAAAACTGAAAACCTTCATATTAAAATCAGGAACAAGACAAGGATGTCCACTCTCATCACTCCTGTTCAATATAGTTTTGGAAACATTACCCACAGCAACTAGACAAGATAAATAAATAAAAACAATAAAGATAGGAAAGGAAGAAGTTAACTGTCATTATTTGCTGATGATATTATACTCTACACAGAACACCCAAAATACTCCACCAAAAGACTTCTAGGCTTAATTGACAGATTCAGTAGTGCATATAGACACAAGGTAAACACTCAAAAATCAATAGCCTTGAGGTGAGGTGGAATCGCAGGTTGTTTTCATCTGCATCTCTCAAATAACCAGTGACGTGGAACATTTTTTCATATATTTACTTGCTGCTTTTACTTCTTTGTCTGAGAAATGTCTGTTCATTCCAGATGCCCATTTTTGAATTGTGTCCTTATATTTGGGGGGCTGATTGTTTTGAGTTCTTTATATATTCTATATAATAGTCCTTTGTCTGAGGAGCAGCTGGTGAAAATTTTTTCCCACATTTTAGGATGTCTCTTGGTTCTGTGGATGGTTTCTTTTGCAGTACAGAAACTTTTTTAAAAAGATGAGATCCCAGTTTTTTATTCTTTCTGCTAGTTCCTGTGCTACTGAGGATTTGTTCATAGTCTTTCCCTATGCCAATGTCTTCAACAGTTAGAGCTGGGACTAGAGGTTCCATTTGACCCAGCCATCCCTCTGTTGGATATCTTTCCAAAAGAATGAAAAGAATCATATCACAGTGATATGCACTCCTATGTTTATAGTGGCACAGTTTGTCATAGCTAAAACTTGGAAACAGCCCACTTGCCCATCAGTTGGAAAATGGATAAAGAAGATGTGGTTTTTCTATAAAATGGAATCCTACCCAGTCATAAAGAATGAGAAATTAGATTCATTCATAGGAAAATGGATACATATTGAGGATATACTCCTAAGTGAAATAAGTAAGTCACACATTTGTAAATACGGAATAGTTTCTTTGGTGTGAACAAATTATAATAGTACCTATGATCCTAATGAGATAACTGACAATGTGTAATAGGAAGAAAGGGGCTAAAGGTGTAGAGAAAGTGGGAAGGGTAGGGGAAAGGGAATAAGGGAAAAGAAAAAAATATGAGAAAATGAAAAAATGGAAATGAAGTGTTTGTAAAGGGGAAGGGAGGAGGGGTGAAGGGAGGGCAGGGACAAGGGGAAAAAATGAGAACCAAGACCTGTCACATAAAGGTAGAAGATCCCAGTAATGAATGTAACTGTACTGTATACCTAGAATGTACCAATAAACTCAATAAAAGAAAAAAAGAAAAAAAAAAACAACTTGATTTGCCATCAGCAAATTTAAGTTTAAACATCTAATGTCTCTTGAAGAAAGCAAAAGAGATTGTATAAAGAAGAGACAGCAGGGAAGGTAGCAAGATTTACTTTTTACTTTTGTATCTTTGGAACTTTATACCAAATGCAAAAATTGCCTATTTAAAAGTTAGTTTAAATCTTAGTACACATCTTGTTCTTGGTAACAGACTCTAAGAATTACAGAAAGTCAGTTTCAAGTCTTCATTGTACAGATATGGAAAAGGAGTTCCAAATTTGTACAGCTTGTTTCTCTGAGAAAATTAGGAAACTTTGGAATACATCTTCCAGGTTAAATTTTGCAAATGTTTAACAGAAAATCCCCACAAATTTTAACAATTTTTTTTAGATTACAAGTTTGTAGTGAGTGACCATTATAAGACCAGGTTGTTAAATAAAAGTGAGAGAAATTTTCTTTAAGATGGGCCAAAATTAGATGCCAGTTGAGTGACCCATTAAAAGCCAGTTGTGCATGTGTCACTGTTTTAATTATTCTGTACAACTTGCTTCTCAGCTGTACCCTGGATGACTACTTTCTCATGAAGAAAGAATACTGTGCTACAAATTAGTTGTATAACTAACAAGTACTTTATGAAATAGTTTACTAAAAATTAAATCCCAGTCCTCAAAACAAGGGGAAAAAGAACAAGATGCAACAAGAAAGAGAGGGTGGGGTGGTAAGAGCCAAGAAGGAAATTGTAGGGAAACTAGGGAAACAAGAATGCTCCATGGAAACAGTGAAAGATATTTAGAGATAAGGCCTCTTAGTTCTCATTTTATTATCTGCCTTCCTTCTAAAATAATTTTTGATACAAAATCATTTTCCCAGAACCACTAAATCTAGGAGCTGGGAGGAATTTTTAAAATTCCTAGCTTGTTTTTTAACTTATTCCTTTCAACAAACAAATGAGAAAAATTGAGTCCAGAGGGGCAAAATTCTTTCATTTTTTTAAAGCTGAAATGCTTCACCCATAATTCAGGTTTCTAAGTAGCTAACAAAAATATTTGTTTTGTTTTTCCATTTACAAATGGTTAAAATGCTTGTTTGAAATAATAGCTTTGGTTTCTGCTGTGATTACTTTGAAAATAGAAAAACATGAAAGTCCTATTTTTACTTGCATCTGTCACTCCATGTTCTAATTACTTTCCAGGTACCAGCTTCCTATGCCTACACAGGGTGGTTCATTCCACACTGAAAGCTGACAGCCTCTCACTCTACAAAATGAAACCAGTATCTTCAAAAGGAAGTACAAGTTGCCTCCAACATTCAAGCAAACTCTTTTTACTTCTTTTTGTTGTAATTATTATTAGATTACTATGGAGGTTGAAAGGAAAAGCCCAAACCAGTTTCTGCTTGTATTTTGTGGATCTGAGTACTTGTGTGCCAATCTGTGTTGATGTGTAAGGATTTTTTTTTTTGGTACTGGGAATCAAATTCAAGTCCTTGCATTTGCAAGGCAGGTGGAGGAACCACTGAGCTAAACCCCAGGCCCAGGTGTGTAAAGATCTTTGTAGGCATGTGTTCTGTGTTCTGTGGAGTGGTGTTTGGGTTGGGATTGGATGGTGGAGGTTGATGTTATCTAGTTTTTTCAGCCTAAAGCAAATTGCCTAAAGCAAAATGATCTACCAGCAAAATAATTCCTACCAGAATGAATGTGATTTTAACAGATACAAAGCAGAGCTATATTCTGTACTTTGGTGATAGTGCTTATCAATAACTATACACTATTTTTGGTTAGTTTAAAATTTGTTGGTCATGGGAGGGGGAGAAGCACTCAATACTCAAAATCAGTTTTAATTTGATTTTTATCTACTCTCAGTCTCAAAGATTTAGGCAAAGTTAGTTTGCAGCATCTGCCAGAGAAAAATGATTATAGCCAAAGTAATCTCAGTTTCACTCAGCCATTTTATGTTTATAGCTTTGGAAACAAAACATATTGATCTCAGGAATTTATGCTAATTCTGTACATAAAGAAGAGGGCAAAAGCTGTTACCAATCCCTTGGAAGCCAAATGTGCACAGTATTAGTTGATAAGTATTGGTTATAATTTAGTAACTTTAGTTTTTATCCTAAATATTACTCAATGTGTGAGTTCTTAGAGGCAATCCAATATGTCAGACAAACAAAGCAGAGACCTTTCTGACTTTTTCAGGGCTTTGTTCCTGGAACAAAAATGTACTGAATGACTATAGGATAAAGAAGACAGATGCTTGGCTACAGACAAAGTCTTAGAACTAAACAGCCATTCCCCTGCAATTTCATAAATAAAGAAGCCAATCCAGAGCCTTAAAATTACTTGATGTTGAATCACTCTGCTTTTGCTGAATTTCATAATCTATGCTTTTTATGTAGCATTGAAGATCAGTCACAATCTGACATTTTCTTCTGTTTGATTCATTTTTAGCATTAACAGTATCAAGCAGTTGTCTGAACACATGTGCTTAAGTTTTGTAAGTTTAGTTAAAACTTTTGGAGTATCAGTGCCATCACTGACCATCGGTGCTGCTGCTGGACCACCAATAAAGTTCAGCAGTGAAGGTAAGACTAGATTACCACGAAAAGCCTGCATGCTAGCATGACAGAGACACACACACATTTCATTTCTTTATTCCATTACTTGTTTACCAGATTAGACCCTGGCTGTATGTTTTAGCGCTGCTAGGACTTTCCAAGTTACAGTGTGCATTACTTCGAGTTAACGGCCTTTCCTCCTACGCAGAAAAGGAAGGGTGGACGCTGTGCTCACCTCCAGACTCCTGTCGTATTGCCAGCAAATGCTGAGCACTTGGTAAGTGTCTGCAGATGGGAGGGAGTGGAAGAAGAAAGGAGAAAGGTCATGTGGAAATGCTTGGAAGTCTGCACAGGTGCCATGGAAATTTCAAGAAATTTCTAGAGAACTCAAGGTAAAGCTTCTTCTAGTGCTGTACCTTGAAGGTTGAATAAAAGTCTCTAAGTAAAACAGAGGAAGTTTTCTAAACATAGGGCAACCTATGGTTGTATAGATGTATGCCTGTTGCTGGATCTGCTGGAGGGACATATCTGAGGGCAGCATCCCACCCGGGTTTGTATAATAGGAGAGTTATATATGGAACTATTTGTACATATCAAAGCTTTAAAAATGCAACAACACACTGCCAAATACACTTAGCCTCCTATATTCTTCTTGGTTAACTGATGACCACAGTAGAAAGGCAGAATTCTGACATTATGATAACTAACATTTGCTCTTGCATTTCAACAATCTTTGTGAAGGGTTTATATTCTAAACAGACTAAGAATGCCTTTTTGAATTAAGGATCACAGGAAAGTATTGTTCCTTAGACACTGTGCTTTTTACAAGAATTTCTCTCTTCTGAAAGTATTCCGAGGATAACAGTGCTCCTCCTTTGGCTCATTCCTTCTACTCCATCTGAACAGTCACTTCATTGCTAAGTAACTGGGCCTATGGGCACTCTGAAGTGGAGCCGTGTTGCCTCCTACTCTGTTGAAGACATCAAAGCACAGCGCCCATGGTGCTGCCCTCCTTGGAGTGAGCCTGCACCCTGAAGGAGCCCTGCTCACATGTTCTCTCCCCATGAGGCATAAACTAGGTTCAGAGGCAAGGGCAGCGCCTTGTCAGTTGTGCAAGTTTTGCTTCCCTCTCTAGCTTTAGCAATAATAAAATTGATAATAAATTTATGCATATATAACACCTGGGTTTATTTCTATATTTGGATCTTTTTTCTATCATTCTATATTGATTTGACCTAAGTGATGAGCAAATGAATGACCATATGTGTGTGTGTGTGTGTGTGTGTGTGCGTGTGTGTGTGTGTGTATATTGGCTCTGTCAAAAAAATGATAGTTTGATACTCGATTAGAACTGCTAGTACTCTTAAAAAATAATATTAAATGTCACTTAGATTATTTTGTGAAAATTGTTTGAGATCATTAAAGAGAACAAAATCTGGAAAATAAGAACCCCTCAAGCCCATTTCCCCAACATACCTCAATGCTGCCATCTTTAGTTCATGATTGCAATTAAATTAGAAATCACATAAAAAGTATATTCATAAATAACCTACTGAAAAACAAAACTAAGGATCCATTTGGTGAGTACTGTTCCAGTAAAATTAATAAGCAAAGAAATATCTCAAAGCTTTGCTAACAATCCAGTAGATAGGTTAAAGTTTCAGTAAAGACAGAATTATAAAAGAATTTGTGGATAAATAAAAATGATTGATATTACTATAGCTCTAATGTAAAAATTTACAAGATGTTTTTATTCCATGTTTAAGGAAGGCACAAAACTGCCTTTCCCAAGTTCACAGGGAACTCAGCCCAGCCTGGACTTCAAGGCTTAGATGCTGTTCCCACACCACACAGCTGCTCTTACACTGTCTAGCCTTGTTTAGAGAATTTAAAGCTTCCTGTTGAGTTATCCCAGAATCTCAGGTCCACTAGTAAAGGGTTCCTATGGTTTTAAATTCACTGTATCCTTCCCATATGTTTAAACATTCATAAAAATGAGTTAGTTATCATAAGAATAAGAGAGCCGTTTTGGCGCTGTACATATTGTTTTCAGTTCAGTATCTCACAATATTAGCTGCATACAATAAATGATGGTGTCAAGGTATCTAGAGGAAATATATTTCCTGTACACACTGTACAAATGAAATAATATGTATTTATCCTTTCTAGCATTTTCACAATCCAACCCAGAAACCCATTTACAGCATTTGAAGAGGTCATTTATTATAACTATTTCTCTTTTTCTCAAACTAGATCTTAAAGATGCCTCTCCCTTAAAGCTGCCTCTATCTTAAAGATGTTCTTGTCTCTATTTCTAATTTTATAGGTCATTGAGAATGTCTATAAAATGACTTCATTCTTTATTGATCACCCACATCCTGTAAAGAAGGACGTAGAATCCTATGAATTCACTGTTAATTATCACAGTCCCTTGAATATCGTCTTACAGGAGAGCAAATAAAGAAAGGAGATTGTAAGGGCCAGGGATTTAGCTCAGTGGTTCCGCCACCTGCCTCACAAGCACAAGGTCCTGAGTTCGATCCCTGTTCCAAAAAAAAAAACGAAAGAAAGAAAAGAAAAAAATAGATTGTAATGTGTTCAATATGGATACATGGATATTAAATGAATATACAAAAATGGAGACAGATACATGATTGGGCAAGAAATGGTCAGTATTTCCTGAGGATGCATCACCTGAAACATGAGAGTAATGAGAGTGGCTGAGGTGAGTTTCTTCTGTATGCAGAGTGAATTGCAGAAAAGTACCTGGGGAGGCCTGGTAGAAAGAGGCCCTGTTCTTCATTTGCTTATGGATATTCAGCGAGAGCGCGGGGTATCCGTACAGTAGTAGAATCCAATTTGGAGATAAATATACAAGCTAAAATTTTCAGTCTTGACTTGGAATAAATTGACTGTGCCAGGGAGTGTTGCAAGTGATTTTCTTATATCAGTGTCTTTATTCATCACACCATACCTAAAAGAGGGGCATCTAGGATTGCCATTTTATAGACAGAGAAAACAAGATGCATAGATCTGACACAAGAAGGCATCTTCCAAATCCTTGCTCCTCGGTGTGGTTCATAGACCATAATATCAACATCTGTGAGCTTGTTAGAAATGCCAGGACTCAGACACTAACACGGACTTCTAGAACCAGAAGCCACAGCTTAACAAAACTCCACAGGTGATTTTGAGCCCCTTAAAGTTTGACGAGATTTGGCTTTAACCTATTGTTCTGCCTCTATGAGAATACATTCCCGGAGAAGGAATTAGGTGTTACATATAATCAACAGGGAAAGTACAGTGGAAGAAGACAATCGTAGAGGCCTGAGGATGAACCGAAGTAGTACCGTTAACCAAGTGAAAGAAAATGGCAAAACAGGGCAACAATAACGACAAAGAAAGAAGTAGGTAAATTTTAGAGGGAGCCGAGGGAGAACTTGGAGATTTTGAGTATGTGATTTGAGAGGGGGGAAGAAGTTAGCTTTCCCAGTTTTCCATTTTGAGCAACAGCAGGAAATAAAATAGAGTACAATGACTACTAAGGCTAAGTGTACTGTGGTGACAGCCAAGAAGAGCCGTGTGGCTGGGCTAAAGACAGGGGAGGGGATTTCATAAACTACTGGGCATTCTGGAAGGCACCAAGACAAAGGCCGTGCCAGAATGTTCAGCTGACTTGTCGTTGATGTCCCTCACCGTCACTGTATTCACTAGGTTTTTTTCCCTAAGAAGAAAGTCCTTTGATCTTCTCAGATTCTTAAGGGGATCTATGATTCCAAAGATGTCAGAGTACAGATAAATGCTGAAGCTTATAATTTTGAGAGGATTTAAGGTGATTTTTTGTGGGAAAGAATCTGATTCCCCCCTTCTCTTCAAAACTTCTAGGGTACTAGAGGGTAACTAAGAGAAATAGAAAGAAAAAAGATAATTTAATAATACGGGAATCCAAGCTCATCTAATTTATATTGGATTCCGAACTTCCTTTGCGAGTCCAAGTATTTGGTTTGCATTTCTAAGGAGACCATGTTTCGTACATTGAAAAACATTTAAAAAAAAAACCAAAACATCTCTACAATGTTTTAGACAGTAAAACATTTTAAATAGTAAGATATTTTCAATTTTATAAGCAAAATGTTTGCTTTCCTAAGAAACCTAAATTAATCCAGCTTTTCTCAAAATGTTGCTGGAAAATAGAATAAAAATAAGAAGGAAATTTATCACAGATGTTACAGTGAAACACAAATCTGCTACTCATTTAGATAAAACAGCCCAGAGCTGGCAACTCACAATAATATGGAAATAAGCAGAACAAGTGTAGAAAAGAGGCATCAAAGTTTACCTTCCCCATCAAGCAATCTGGATCATGGCTTCTGGCATATATCATAATGCATATGCTAAGAAGTATCTTCTATGACATGATTGAAATATTTGTGTTGAAATTTAATTCATGCACTTTATTGAGGATATGAAATGCTGGCCAAAATGACTCAAGAATTTTCTTACTCTTTATGTGTAAGAAGTATATGCTTTATTAATGATTCTTTTTAGTTGTCACATTTCTGATTCAAAATGACAGCTGACGAACTACATTTGGTTTTCAAATGAATGACAGAGTATGACTATGAGGAAGCATTAACCCTAATGGGACTCATGCTTTTTTCCTCAATAATGATCTCAGTTTCAAAAAGCATTGGACATGCAAATATTTTAATTTCATCTTAGGAAATTTCAGACTATATTAATTATTGTAATTTCATCTTAGGAAATTTCAGACTATATTAATTATTGTAAGTATGCCTGCTTCTGGAAAGTAAGCAGATTTTTCTTGAAAGAAAGCAAGAATCTCATTAACTTCTTAAAATCTATAAGTGCTTCAAAATATGTCTTGGAAATACAAATACAGTTTTAAAATATCTTCAATGATGTCATTCATTCAAATAAATTGAGCAAAAATAAAACCCACGATCCCTTCTGTTCTTTTTACAACAATGAAACTACGCTCACAAAATAAGATCATTACAATAACTCAGAAGGCAAGTCCAGAATTTTCTGGCCACTGTGTACATCTTTAAACAAGTCATCCAAATGAGAGATCTAAAAAGGTCTGCAGATAAAATTCTATAATGCTTTGCTCAAATGGCTAAGATACTTCAAGGTATATACATAATTGCCATGCAAAAGTTCTCAAGTAGTCACTGGAAAGTTTATACAAATACTTCATCCTTAAAATTCAACAAGATAAAAATACCACATAAACAAAACACAGAGGAAACATTTTGGAAGGGAAAACTTACTTTTGTTAAAGCTGCTTCTTCCTATGACTTAAAACAATATGAAAGAATATACGATGATTTTTGCCCCACTGATATATAAATATGCCAACTTCCAAAAGGAACAGCACTGAGAAGCCCTCCTCACTATAGCCTTTTCAACTTTGTAGGGAAAAAAAAAAAAAAGATTCTGTGTTTCCTCCAAGCCTTGTGACGTGCACATAGCTGACTCCTACTGGGCTGAAAAACCACTCCTTGTTAATTTCTAGTTAAAATTACAAGTCACAAATTCTTCCCAGAACATCCTTAAAGGGAAATTCTACCAGTAATAGTATAAGCTTTAAAAAGTTTCAAATATACAGCACTCATATAGATACATACACAAGAGAAATTTCCATTGATGAGGCCAAATTAGGGGCATATTTATAAAGCAAATTCTCTAAAACGATGATTTTTTTTCTTTCCTAGATTAATCTGATTTTGGTTTTGTTTTATGGTGGCTATCAGAAGCCTCCTTTTAGGTTACAAATGGCTAAACTGCAGATCAGTTTTGCTGAACTATCTGGAAGAGACAGAGACCCATGTTCTCACCTGTGGAGTTCTTTGTAGCTTGAGAGAGGAACCTTGAATTGTGGCCTTTATTCCTTCTTTCTTGAGAAATTCTAGTCGTGGATTTGAATAGACTAACTCCAGATAGTTACCTACTCTCTGCACCTGTGATGTGGACTTAACACTTCCTGCTTCTGCCTACTTCCCTATGAGCTGGTAACAATTGTTATGTCATATCCATGCTGTATGACTTCATTTAAGGGTGTTCATTTGGCCCTTTGAATCTTCAATTCAAAACATGAAAGTGACCACAGATGTCAACAGTTGGATTTGAAGGAACATTTTCATATTGGTGAAATATCCACAATAGGAATTCTTAGTGGGTCATACTGATCTATACAGTGACATATATTCCAAGAGTCTCCATTTAAGGCCATTTCTTAGGTAGGAGGAGAAAAGATATATTGTGCTTTAATTCTATCCATTCCCAGACCAAATTTAAACTTTACTTGTTTCAGGTGCTAAAGACATATGTTACTATATATATTTTTTTTTCTTTTTTTTTTTTTTAGGTCAATCTCTGCCAAATACAATCAAGTATGAGCTGGGGAAATGCAGGGACACTTTACTCTAAGCTTTGATTCAAAAACTGATTTTGTGATTAAGGCATTGTGAAATGAAAATATGATGATTAGCAAAAACAAATTCTGATTTATTTAAAGGACAAAGGTATGTTTCATTAATTACAGATTTGATTAAACATGATAACCCTACTAACCAGGCTTTATTTTCCTCCTTTTATAGGAAAGCAAGAGTCTTGGACATATAAAAGTGCCTGTGTCCCCATCTAGCCTTGGGGCCTCTGCCCTTTTGGTTTATGCAGTATGCTTTTTTGACATTATCTACACTGATTCAACTTCAGAACCTTCTTCACCATCTTCAGCTTTAATGCAATGCCTTTCATTTGCCCACTCCACCAAAAGTCTTCATTATGATCATAGATTTTTTAAAAAAATGTAAATCTTAAAAGAAATGTCTCATCTCTGGCCATGTCAGCTTCTTGAAACTCTTTCCTTAGTTCCCCTTAAGCTACACTCTTCTGATTTTCTCCTTGTTTTCAGCATCCTCAGACACCTCTCCCTTTACTAATTCTTTCTCTCTAGAGCTTCATTCTCTGTTCAGTATGCATCATTTTATTCAAAGCATTCCTTATAGAACCAGCTGTATGCTACGACTCCCACATCTGCACTCTCATCAAGTATCATTTTCCAAGCTTTCATATTTGTATCCTGTTATCTACTGTGATCTTTGTCTAGAAGTCCCCAGACATTGCAAACTCATCAATTTTTTCTCTCTCCGATCCTGTTAATTTGCTCTTTTTTCCTATGGTGAGGTATGGCACAATCATTTACCCATGTTAGATTCTTCTCTCCCCTCATTTATTCTCCAGCATCGCCAACACTGCCTAATTTCTGTTGGCTCTACATTATTAAATAACATCTCATCAATGTGTCATCATCCCTCCAATTCATCCTCATTTTTCTTCATAGATGATGTCAATCATAAAAACAATTTGAATTGCAGAGATCAATCTGGACCGCTTCTATCTTTTCACTATTTCATTATATAGCAATATTAATGTTAAAATATGTTTATTCAATTATAAAAATGCTTTTTGCAGAAAATGTGGAACAAGAATAAAAAAAACATAAAGAAAAATTAAAATGACTAGGAATCTAAGCGATAGCCATAGCCCAAATCTTTGCATATCTCATTAGAATTTCATGTATAAACATTGACTATATGAGGAAAGGTTTGTGTAAATGTATATATGTCTAATACCACCTATAAATACATACATAGTTTCATTTATTATTGTATTATATTATTATAGTAGTTATTATTATTATTAGAGTACAGCACATTTAATTAGAATACCAAGAACATTTTGATCAGTTATAGGATATGAGAAATTTCGTTCCCATTGCTAGGTATATGCCCAAGGCCCTTACAACAAAAGACAGATTAGCAAGAAAAAAGCATCCACATTTATATGTTTTATGAGATGTGAAATCTTCAGAAATGAAGACTCAGAGACATATTAAGTAAGCTTGTGTATTTTCATGCTTTGGTTGATGAAAAAGAGTGAATAGTTGTGAAGGAGTATAAAACTGGGGGGGAATTTAGCAAGGAAATCCTCTTTTGTCCAGATTCTTCTTTATATGTGTCCTCAGAGATAAGGATTTCCCTCTCATGCTTTTTTAAGTAGATTGAGAATCTCTGAAATGAAGGTGCTATGACCCGCTTCAGAAGAGAAGGATGAAAGGTAGAGAGTGACCTTCCTAGGCTTTGTGACCTGCTCCAGGGAGAAGCGAAAATGTGAGATATCTTCCTGCGTTTGCAGTTTTCTCAAATTCCGAGATGCAATACTTTGCGGGTAGCATGTGCTGAATCCCGTTGTACTTCTGAATCTTATCGCTTAATATACTGAGACTTTTCAAATCAACAAAATACTAGTTTTAAAGTGGCTGTGAATAATGGTGGCAACATAATGAAATACATAATAGAATATTGCTTTTTTCCTTCTAATTGTTTTCTTCAATACCCAAAACCACACGGATCATTTACATAAAATATAAATCACAAAGACTTAGGTAGGAAAAAAGCACAAAGAAAAGTCTAGAATGTTAATTTACATTTATTAGGTATGATTTAAGCAAACCTTATCTCATGTTGTCAAGCACTTACCCACTTTTGAGGTTGTATATAATAATTTGGGAAGGACTACAGGCTCAGCTCCTCTTACCAGCCCTTATCAACAATTTTGACAAACTACTTCAAGTTTACAATGAAAAAAGGACAAATTTTGGGACTTAAGAGTTTTTGGTGTTTCTTTGGTGGACTAGCCTCTAAACAAAACTATTTCATAGTCAAGATTGCTCCCTTTCTGTGTAAGACGTTTTGTCTGTATACTATGGGAGTCCATTTTAAAATCCACATTGCAGATAAGACAATTATTTTCACTAACAATATGTGCATTTTACAGAACTTTGGTAAATTATCAAATTGCCTTCCAGAATGGAAGTGGCTTTGTTAAAAATAGAAATAAAATCACCTTATTCCCTGGCTAATTTAATCTTTTAAAGGTTCTGTATGTTTTTAGGATAATAGTTAAACTTTTTACATTATTGATAAGGCATTTCAGGATATCCTCCCAGTCTCTCCATTTTATCTTATTACTTTTCCAGATTACTTTTCTTATTTCTCACTACTTTAGGACTTCCCAGATGTCTCATTACTTTATGGTAATTAATGTCATAGTACTTCTGCACCTCCTTTTCTCTTCCCAGAAAGACACTCTTTCCCTTCTATTTGCTTGAAGCTAATCCTTTTTCTTTCCAGACTTAGGTCACATCCAGCCTCTGCTGTTGACAGTCTGAATTCTATTTCTTCTCCCATACCATCTTCTGTCAAAATACTATATTAAACTTTAATTGGTGATTACAGCCACCTGCTTGAAAATAAGGAATATTTTTTAAATTTACATTTGGATTCCTCATATTCAGCTGTAATACAAGATCCAGGAAATTGCTGAGCCAAGGCTTTAAATCCACTAAATCCCCTTTCATCCATTACACCCATCAACATAACCCCATCTTTCCTGTTCTTTCTGCTCTTCAAAACAAACAGCAAGGTTGTCTGGTTATACTTAAGAGAAACAGAGATCCAATAAGGGGCAAATATGGAGAAACAACACAACACTAGGAATGTACAGAAATTTAATACATTTTTAATTTAGCTTTTTGTGCTGTGAGACAAAAACTTTTCTGAAAGCTTGGAGGTCAGGGTTACATTTTCAGTCTAGAGCAAGTCTCTTCTACTTGTTCTTTATTTACTTCACACAGCCTTTGAGGTCCAACTTGACTAGTTCTTTAGGTCACTCTAACAACAGCTACCTTATTAGTGTTCCCAGAGCTAGGGATGCAGCACAGTTTTACAGTGTTGACCTAGCATATGTGAAGTTCTGGGTTGCCTTTATTTAAAAAAAAAATAATCCAGATTTTTGAGTTAAATGTCCACTTGGTTTTTATGTGTGTGTTTTTTCTCATCTGCCATATAAACTGGGATAAAGACTTCATTGATTATAGCAAAAGAAAGCAAACTTTCCATCTTCCCACCTTGACCAAACTAACGTAAATTATGTTATTGGTAGAAAACAGTCACATTTGGGCATAGGTTGAGTGAAATTTCTGAAAAAGCAATGAACTATTTCTTGTCAATCTACAGACTGCAGTATCCTCTACAACACTGTGGCATCTTAACCTTATCCTTGGTCCTTTTTGATCTTACTGAAGCACTTTTCTAGAAAGCTAAAGATGGTTCTCTAAGTTAAGCAACTACTATTTAACTGTTAATGTAAGATTCTAATATAGCATTCGGGCTTTCATCAAAACATACTATGATTTTGATAATATATGCTACCATTTACTGAATCATTTGGATGGGCAGAGTGGGTTTTCTTCAAAAATAGGTAGCTCTGTAGCTGCAACACATCTGAACATGAAGAAGAGGGCATATTTTCCAATCTCTATTTTAAGTTCAATAACAGAAATTAGAAGACAGAAGAATATAGCTATGCATTTGCTGAAATCTGGCTGAGAAATGATTTACTATGATGAAATGGTTCATGAATGGGAAATTTCTAAGCAATGAAAGACATTGAGAATTATGGAATTTATGTGTAAAAAAAGAAAATCAAATCCTTTAATGATCTTCAGAATGAAAACTGAAAACATTTTCCACAGAATGTATCCACAAATTAATTTTAGTATTAATTAATATAATGAATTTTGAAAGTGCCATTAACAGTTAATAGGATGGGTAATTTTATTTTAAATAATATTCTTAATCCTGTCCATTAAGATCACAGTACACACGTAACGATTTTTACTTTATTAATGAAATTTGAACTTCATATACAAAATCAGTTATGTAAATCTTATTTACAAAACCAATAAAAACTGTTTAGTGTGGAAAAATAAAAAACGTTTTGACAAATGAAAAATGTTTTACGCAGAGATTAAGAACTTTTTATTTGCTTCATTGTATCTTATTTTCACAAATTAAGTCAGAATTATTATTATTATTATTTTTTTGTACTGGAGATTGAACTCAGGACCTTGTGCTTGGGGGGCCCGCAGCGGAACCACTGGGCTAAATCCCTGGCACAAGTCAGAATTATTTTAATGGCTTCACTGTCACTTGTTTTCTATGATGTAGTTTAACACAAACAGATCGATTACTTTGGTATATGTTGAAACAGAAATGGTAAGATTCCTCAGTGATGGCTGAGCAACTGAGTGGGTGCTCAATAGTTTGGAAGAAGAATAAACAAATCTAAAGTGGGGTCTGTAGTTAAAGAGAATTTGTCATTTTTCTACTTTGCTCTTAATACACAATATAATTAAAATTTATCCATGGGAAAACATTTTTAAACTTAATGTTATAGTCCTAACCTTAATAGTGATTCTTAGCAATTACTACATGAGTTACTTTCACTCAAGATTAACACTTCTGTCTAAAATGGAGTAGAGGTAGTCTGATCACTGTATTTAAAGATTTTAAAATACATATATAGTTTTAAATGCTATATAAGGAATTATATAAAATAGCATTATAATATTTGAAATTTATCATTATATTAAAAATAACAAAATTTCTTTTGGTAAATAATAAAATTATTCTTTAAACTTCCTTTGGTTGAAATGATTACTCCAAGGAACTATTTTAGTTACATTTAACTAGTAATCATTAGAAAACAAGATCTCTCTCTTTTTTTTTTTTTTTTTTTTTAAATAAACAAGGTTTCTATTTTTGGGAAAAAAGTTCTAATGATTTAAATCCTCTGACTACTGGAAAAAGAAGCTTAATTATTTGTCACACAGGTACTTAGAGCAAGATTTAGTTTTTCTATTAATTTTAAAATAAGTGATTTTATTTCTCATATACCAAAGGCATTTTCTTTTCTTTAAAGCCAAGACATTTTAAGTTTCTGCCAAAATGTATATAAGTATAGTAATTACACTTGAAAGTCAAATAGCAAATAATTCGTTTAAGAAATGAAAAGTGTAAAAAAATTTATTATCATCTTGACTAAACCAGAAGCATACATTTAGAATTATGTGAAAATAATTTTTATGTGAAAAATTCCACATAAAGTTCATGTGAAAATGAAAACTTCCATGGAGAACTCAATTTATGAAATTCACATCTTTTAAGATTTACATTTAATACAATATTACTATTTTAACTGAACTGTGTGAGAGGGAGGAGGCTGATGGGGGAGTAAGGAGTTGTGACTGACAATTTTCTGTGACCACTCACATTTAACTTTGGGAAAAATGCTCACTATATAACAAAAGTAATTAAGATATTACTTTTTTTTTTTTTTGGTACCGGGAATTACAAGGCACGCCACCGAAGGATATTACTCTTCTGTCACAGATGATTTCCTGGATTTGAACACAAGGTCCTTAATAGATGAAGAAAGTTCTTGGAGCTCTTTACGAGTGGTATTGGTGACATCATGTTGTTCTTTGTCTAATTCCTCACTCAAGGAATCCTCTCCCTGACCAGTCTTCTTTTGGTTTACTAATTGCTTCACAACCAAACTTTGATACTTTACCAGAAGAGTATGCTGGTCCTGTGAAAAGCAATAACAAAAGGTAATAAATATGATTAAATTTTCTGTGGAACAGATAAAGTAGAATTTTTTGAGGCAATAAACATCGAAGGTCTTCAACTTTACAGAAGACTGGCCATGTAAGTAGAAAGCTGAATCTAACAAGGTCCCCCCTGGTCTTATAGAATTTATATTTCCGGGAAAATAAAACAGGAATGCAAATCATTTTACTATAAATTGACTTAGCTAAGAACTATTAGTAAAGTTAAAATCAAAGTGATAAGGAGGTTCAAAGAAGCCAAATACTTTTAGGTGAGGGGTCGAGTTTCTCATATGAATGTGTATACAACAAAACATTTGAATCAGTCCTTAAAAAATAAGTTAGGCTGAAAAAGAAAACCTGACATTCTCTTTTCTTTTCTGAAAGTACAATTTCCAAATTCTGAATATTCTTTACTATGGAATAGTATGTGAAAGAGTCCTGAGCTATGCTAAAATTTAAATATTTGTCCCTAATTAACTGTCACATTCTTAGAAGCAGGTAGATAATGTATTTTTTTTTTTTTTTGTCCCTGAATATTGACAATGACTCAAATTTACTCACTCAAAATATTCAGAATGTAAAAGCCTGGAAAACTTCAAATGTAATGAAAATGTAATACCTCTGGAATTTTATTATTAAGAAAAGCAATGATCTGTGGGACACATCTTCCAGGTGCATGGAGCATGCTGTGGGTTGAGAACTGAAACAAGAGGACTGATGTGAGGTGCAGAATAAGAGCAGGGTCTTCTGTGACTTTTAGTTGTTCAACCAGAGCTTGTCGATGCTGGAACAGTATCTGCCTAAAAAGTAATAAAATCACACAAAAATGTGACATAAGAAATTCTCACCAACCTCCATTCTTACCTTCTGTATTCATTTTTTAGCTTCTCTAATTTAATGTTCTAATTCCATACATTTTGAGGGATCCTTTAAATATGGGAGATGTATATTCCCTAACTGGCATGCTAAAACAATATGTTAGAAAATTACAGAAAAAATGTATAGGACAGGGATATTCAAAATAAACTTTTTAAATTTCTGGGGATCAAACAGAACTGCCCATATTTAAATAAGATTTCCTATAAGAAAGGTTACAAAGCTAATAAAAAGTCCCAGACTTAATCAGCTACAGGATTAAGGAGCTCTGCTTTGTTATCAGGGTCAGAGAGCAGTAATTAACTAACTGTATTAAGACTTTGAATATGTGTGAATATATATCCATTTGGATACAGTTCATCATGCAAAGTTCAGATAGTCATATTCAATTTGCAAATATGAAAGGTCTCTCCTGAGAATAGGAATAACAAAGATTAATTCGTTACCTTTCCTTCTTTTTGTCTCCCTTTTTCATCATAATATCACAAGCTTCGGCAGCAGAATCCAGGCAAGAAAAAAAGTCTTCTATGCTCTGAAAAGATATTTAATACTATAATTTATTTTTATATATAGGCACTTAAAGATATGTTATTTTATACTCTAAATACAACTTTTAAAAGGGGGACTCTGGCACTAAATTAGCAACTATTATCTAGGGAAACAAATAGTAAAAACGTTCCCAGCTTGGTCTCCTGTATTTATCAAAGAGATACCTGAGTGCAGAATGTATTTTAGTTTGGCTTACATTTTTTACAGTACTTAAAGAACTTCATAACACAAAGTTCTAGCTGTGACAATTAACTATAATAAAACTTTACTTACTTTGTCATTCAGAGAGTTGTGGAGTTTTGTGAGTGCTACTTTAGTTTCTTCTGGCAACTTACTTAAAATTTTTTTTCTTACCTGTAGGGGCAAAAAAACTTCTTTTAGCATTGTGCTTTGGATATGTGGTGTATGTAAGATCAAACAAAACAAACAAGTAAACAAAGTGTATTTATTACTGTAACGGAATTCTAAGTGGAATTTATCTGTTCTTGAAATTTAGATCTCCAACATGGATGAAGGTATGCTAAAAATGTTCCACAATCAGAGAGCTAACCACTAGTTATTCAGCCAAAAGGGCTGGATGCTATGCTATTTTTTCCACTTGCTCCAGCAATATAAGACTTGTGGGAAGCAAAATATTTGAAGTGGGAAGAAGGTGTTTTTTCCTCCCCAATACCAGGTGAAGAGGGCGTCACTTGAAAGATCAAGGATACCTACAGAATATGGGGGCTGAGATCTTGTCCATGGACAGATGTTGTTATGCTGTACCACAGGAAGACCTCTCAGCATCTTTCTCCGCATGTACATATTCTGTGTAGTTTGATGGTATTCTTGACCAGAGTCAGATAATCCCGTGTAGTGGACAATTTCTGTAAGAGGCCTGTTGAAATGGTTTAACAACAGTGCCTGAAGGACACAGTTTGGGAAAATAGGGGCAACTTAGTATCCCCTTGGTCCACTTTGCACCAGTCCTTCTGTGGCTTTTTAGGAGTAAGGAACAAGACCTTTACTTCTGACAGCAGAAATTGGTACGTGGGCAGGAAACACAGAATTGTCCATAGGGAAAACTGGGGATTTGTTGCACATGCTAAAGAAGAGAAGGTGGCCAGCACATTGGAGGGGTGGGGGGAAAAAGAAACCGCACTTCAGCTTGAAGGTTTGGCAGCCAGTGCTTACTATGCAAGTAAGTCAGGTGAAACTAAACAATACCTCAAGCAAACTCATGCTACCGATTTGGCAACAACCACATCAGCAGAGGGCACAAAAATTAGAGTGATTTTAGTTTGACCTAGTTTAAAGTCAGTTATATACAGTCTGTCAAATGAAGACAAATTCATCTCTTCATTATCCATACGTCTCGAACCTTAAGTGGATTAAGAGGAGAAAGAAGGAAGGAAGAGTGACTGTCATTGTTATCTTATGGACAGACTGTAACAGCTGAGGCAAACCTATGGCATGCAAGCTGCAGGGCTGTTTGTTATCACTGAAAGCTCTAAATCTCTAAATCGCCATCACTGAACTACAACTTCCCTTCTCTAGACAAACGGGAGCCACAGCTTTATCTTACATTGAAAAGAAATGACAAGTTTTTTTTTTTTTATTCTAGTTTCAGATTGGAATAAAAAAAGAACTAGAAATATCTAAGTATTTAAATGATATGGTATCTTTAAATGAAAATGACTACAAAGATATAAACACTGGGTCAGAATAGTAAATAACTATCACATGAACAGGAAAAGGAAAGATGTGAACATAATTTGAAACACATGTGCTTATTCCGAAGTAGTTAAGCACTATTACTTTTGGTAGAATGGTTATATTACCAATCCTGCCAGAAACATCTATCATCCATCCATCCATCCATCCAGGCTAAAAATCTTTTAGATTACTTTCTAAAACACTTTCTTATATTTTATTTTTCTTTTAAGCTACTTCAAATGAGAAAAAAACAAAACGTGCACAGATTCAAAATACATAAAGAGTGGCAGCAAATTACTAACATACTTCACTTGTAATGGTTGCAGGAGAGTCTACTGCCATCATTAAATCTGAAGCTAAGAAGTTGAAAATGAGGTTAGTGATGTCAGTACACACTGTCTTCAGCAAGTGCTTGGTAAGAGCGGCCTGTGTCTCATCTGAAAAAGAAAGACACTTTATAAAATCCAATCTCAGGGCAGAATTATGAGATCAGTAAAAAATAGAATTAAGTATACCTGAAAAAAACTTTATCCCCTTTTCAAATAATCTAATATTATTGTATAGGTTTGAAGCTTCTTCTTGTAAGTCCTTGATTGTGCGTTTTCTACCAGTTCCAGAACCAGAAGCTGAAGACATGAATACTGAACGTACCACCTCGAGATAGGTTTTATTAAGAGGTCTGTACACAAGATAAATATGATTATTTTATTAAAATGTACTGGATTTGTGCAAATAACAAATTTTACATGCACTGAAATAAGGTTTAAGAAAAAAAAAAATCTCTATTTTTTAAACAAATAAAACTAACTTGGAGAAAAGTTCCCTAAGAATTTTTTTCCCAGCCCCAGGAATTATAACTTAAATGGACTGTCTTTCTTAAGTTTAGAGTACTCAAAGTTAAAGATGATAAGAACAATGAAAACCAACAGCAGACAAACCAAAAACAGCTTTTTGAAGTTGATGTGAAAAACAGTAGACTATAAATCTATTCCCTTTCTCAAGAATTACAACTTAAGCAAATTCTCAGTTTCCAAAGTATTATAATGGGCCTTTTTATATTGAACTTTAAAAATACAGCATTTAAAAAAGCAGTGGTAGATGACTAGTAACTATTTCATCTTCTTTACACATGAAAAATATGTTTTTGTAATGGACTTTTGTACAAAAGCACTTATTTAAATTTAAATAATTCTCATTACAAAAGCTGTATTTCTAAAATAAGTTAGATGCCCTAGATTCCTGAATTTTATTTATGGAAATTTAAATACTGGGACTAACTTAAAGGAAGACCAGATTTGATTAATAATGGTCAAGTTATATATAATTTCCTTTATTTTTACAAATAAAGTTAGACTGGCTCATTCATAAAGTAGGAGTGTCTAAACTTATTCTTTTTGAGGTCAATTTGCTCCTTTCTTTCCAAGTCAAATAAAAATAGAAAATGCACTTTTCTTCCTTGTGAATGTTATTTTTCATGCTATAGAGAAAATCAACCTGAGATTAGTACTGGTGAGTTTCTCTCCCACTAAGAATTAAGACTGTAAGATCAATTAAAAGGTTGCTTCAAAGGTTCTCAGTTTTTTTTCTTATATTGCCTTTCCCAAAATTCTAAATGCCTGTTAAATTAAGCTGCTTCTGTGGGCAAATGAATCTGGAATTTAGTTGTTAGAATGAATTTCAAGCTTTGAAAAGAAAACACCTAAAATTTGTTTGTTTTCTAAGATCGTGCCCAAAATTATATTTGTTTCACTCATAAAACAGAAAAAAAAATTTATACTTACTTTATTAAGTATTCGGCAAGTTCAGAAATAAATTCTTCAGGGGCATCCTGTATGTGTTTTCTTAAAAAATCTTCAATCTCATCCTGGAACATAAAAGTCATCTCTGGCTTCTTCTTTCCTATAACAAGCCAAGCAATGGAGGGAGGGGGAAGATAGACACCGAAATACATAAGCAACCAGAAAGCAAGTAAGGTTCCAGTAACAAATGTTAGTAAGATGGTAATCCATTCACTGCCTACTACAGAGTCTCTGAAACAAACTGTTACGTCAAAAAATTGTTTGTCAAATTCCAATAAGAATATATTTTAAAAATTGGGATATGCAGTATAATCTAGTGATTATTTTAAAGCTTCACTTAAAAATTATTTCCTAAAAGGCAATCAGCAAGTACAAAAGATGATTTTTCTCCTTCAATTATCTTGGCTAATGCAAAAGGTGGAAATGAAAATAAGCAAGTAGATAGAAAATAATCTTTCAGGAAAAATGAATTTCTCTTTGTTAAAAAATGGATAATGAACAGAATATAAATGGTATTAGAAATTAAATCATGCTTGTGCTTTATGTAGGACCTTCAGGAAGTTTTTATAATCATCATAACCACGACTCCAATAGAATTAAGTATTACCTTTTGAAAAGGCAGAGATGAAAAAAACCTCCATAATTTTATACCCCAAATTTATTTTTGCTCCACAAAAATGATTCAATACTAAGGAAAACTGGTGTGCAGCTAAAATAGTGGAAATAATTATTAACTGTGGAAATGCCATGCTAGCCACTTACCTGAAAAAGTATGGCTGCAGACAAAGAAAGCTAACAATACTTCTTTTAGAAACTGTAAAGGTCTGAAAGTGATTATTTCCAGCTAAATTAGATTATCTATGTTGCAGTAAAACTAAAACCTCAGCAATAAAAATAACATGCCTTAAAAAATCAATTTTCAATATGAAGATTTAAGCAGTTGAAATCACAGGTAATAGACATATAAATACTGTCCTTCTTTTGTGACATCTGCTGTCCACCTTGATGCTCAAAGTAAATAGTCTATAATCTCCTGTTTGCTCCCTACATGCCTTTTTAGCAGTTTTAAAATTATATCTCCTTTCAGCAATCTTTCTTTTTGTAATGGATCCTGTATTTTAAGCTGAAAATCTAATTTCATCCTCCATTTCCAAGATTATGCTACTACCCTTTTCCAAAGGCACTGAATTACATATTTTAAGGTAGAATGGTTTTACTACTTTTATAGCTCCTCTCAATAATCTATGCACAAAAGGAGCATCACATGCCTCATCTGTTTAGAATTACAGATATTAGAAAAGTATTTTTTAAATGCTTCTTTACCCTACCATGATATGTCTGGGGAATAAGAAAATTTATCAGTGGAAAGTTAAAAAACATGTAAGACAATCTCAATACTATTTAAAATAAGGGCAGGTAGAGCAGGTAGTTTCTACAAAGATACTTCCCCTTTGAGTAACACTATTTAAAAATATTTAACAATTTTTAAGCAACTGTGCTACTACAAATAGCACATTAACAGCTACGGTCGCATCATTTGATGTCTGCATATCCCAGCTACAGCTCATATATAATGAACTCTGTCAAAGAAGAGAAATCTCAAATTATCATTTGAAGATTTTTTTTTAAATTTTCTTTTTGCTGGGAATGAAGATGAGGGCAGTATCACAGTTTCATTAGCTTTTTAAAATAGAAAAATGAAAAAACATTTTATTTAGAATAACAAAACATCTCATCTCTTTCACACTTAACCTTGTCAAACAATAACAAGTCTAGAAAAGAAATATGCACTTAATGAATTCTCCCCCTTAGACATAAGGAAGTTAGGTGTTATTATAAAAGAATGCAGAAGAGGCCCTGGATCAGTTTCCAACATTTTATCCTTTGCAAAAGCTTTTATGTCTTTTAAGTATTTCTAGGATTAGGAGTATATCTTCAATATGTATCCATTTTCCTATGAATGAATCTATTCTCTCGCTCTTTATGGCTGAGTAATATTCCATTTTATAGAAAAACCACAACTTCTTTATCCAGTTTCCAACGGATGGGCAAATAGGTTGTTTCCAAGATTTAGCTATTACAAACTGTGCCGCTATAAACATGGGTGCACATACTTCTCTGTGACATGATTCTTTCAGTTCTCTTGGAAAGATACCCAACAGAGGGATGGCTGGGTCAAATGGAACCTCCAGTCCAAGCTCTTTGAGGTATCTCCATATTGATTTCCATAGTGGTTGCTTTTTTAATGTAAACTTTTTGCTTTATGTCATGTTGTCTAAGAAATTTCATCCTTTTTGTCACGACTACTTTTCCCATTTATGTTAGCATGTGCACCTTTACTAAGTTCCTGTTTGTAGAGCCATTCCTTTTATAACTCTTTTATGCTTCATTCCAATTTTACTTCTAGTATTATCACTTTTTACGTCTGCTGCACTTTCATCTTTGTTGGTTAATTTCCTATTTTAATTATGTATTTTTATAAAATATCTCATGGGCTTATCACTGGGAGATAAGACACAATACAAGTATCTGCTTTGTTGTTTGGGCATAAAAACTGACAGATGTGTAATGTTTAGTTGCTGACAAACCTCAAAATAAGTGATCTGACAATCAAAGATCCCAATATGCATCCATTATTTTATAGTGGTTGTGGCCTGAAGAACTCTGGCATAGAACCTTATGCAATTATTCAGTTAATATACCAGGGGCAACTGGTAACTGCTTGAATCATGCTGCTGGTGGGCTGGTATTAACTATTACTTAACTAAACTGTGGCAACTGAAATTTATGCCTATTGGAAGTGTGCCAAGCTATTTCCTGAATAAAGATATCTACCTAATTATACCTTAATATGTAAAAGAAATTATGCATAAAGAAAACATAACATACAGTTACACACCATGAGATGATTGGGATTCGTCATCACTATCATCCTCCTTTCTTCCTTTCTTCTTGATTTTTTTAATTTTGTATTCTCTGGCATTGCCCCCACCTCCTCCTCTCACACTTCCACTGCCCTCTGGTGGAAGATGACATCAGTTAGCATTATGGAATTAAATCCCAATAGTGATGACACTCTATTGTTGTATTTAAATTTACAGCAGAAAAACACAAGGCAAAACAAATCTGAGCCTTTTTAAGCACAGTGTTTCCTTATTTAAATACAAGTAGTAAATTCAATCAATAAAAAGTAATAGGAAATTCCCTGAATTTAAGTAACATTCTTAGATCACCTGCCTGCTTCAAATACAGTCTCTCTTTTCTCCAATGTCATCACTTCTCTGTAGTTATATTTGACTTCTGGTTAGCCAAATCTATTCTTTCTTTTCTTCCACTTCCTCTCAAAGAAATGTGCCTTTATTTGCCCATCTGTTATCAGAGCCTCATCAATACTCTCTAGTACATTCCACTAAAATTTAACTCTACTTGGTTTTGCATTCTTGATTGAATGATTGTCACCCAGGCCTTGCAGAGACATCATGAATGAGATTCACCAAGCACTCAACCAAATCATGAATTTCTTGAGAGGAAGGAGGGTAAGGGTAATCTCAGTATTTGTGTGCTTGAGGTTGCAGCCATGCCTGAAACACAACAGGCATTCAATAAATGTTGACTATCAATATTAAATTGGTTATACAAAAAGTAATTGTCACCTACTGGTTAGGTATAAAAATATAGATAATGAAACTCAAACACTGTAAAAAAGTGTAAAAATATTGATTTGGACCTGAAATGCATGAGGTGTGCAGCTTTGCTCTAATGTACCCTCTCCGTCACAATAATTTGCCTCACTGCAGGCCTAGAAACAATGGAGCCAAGTGGTCTTGTGAAGTCATGACCTCCTGTTATGGAGTTTATTTCAGGTATTCTGTCACACTGACACAAGGCTAACACAAGACATTATTAGTTTCCCCATCACTAAGTATTTAAATTTAAAATACATATTTTACAAAATAAAGTGTAAACAATGAAAAATATTGAAATTGTATTTCTGCATAAAAGAATGTTTAAGTAAATTAAAGTGATTTCTATAAATTAAAGATGCTTCCTAAAGGCTAAGTAGGATTATCTTAAATTTTATCATATCCTAGAAATGAAATTTCTATTTACTTTCCTCTTGCCTTTATGATAGAAAAATACTGTTTTCAAAAGCATATGTCTAAACTGAATGCATTTTTAACACTGGATGACTTCCTTGCAGACCATCATGCGTGGCATGATGCCACATACTGCAATTCAATACTGCAAAATAATAGCACTAAAAAGACTAAAAGTCATCAATTAATTAGGCCCATTAATAACTACAGAATCAAATATAATAAAACATGCATGGCTGTGACTATTACTATGATTTATTGCAGTGATTTACCAGACTCATGGAAGTCTAGAGGGTAACTACAAAATACATAAAAGATTTTGTAGAAAAAAGAAACAATCTCAAACGGGAATGAATTTCCATACCAAAAATTGAGTTTTTAGGATGTATTTTTAATGTAGCTGTATTTATTGAAAAAGGATAAATATCAATTTGTAAAATCCTGATAGAGCATTAAATAACTTATTTTAAAGAGTACAGAAAACACATTTTTTAAAAAAAATAGTGATTAATATTATACTGGTTCTACATAGAATAATTTCCTTTGAATTTTAATTAAAAACATGTCTCATTGGGAAATTTGCTCATTCAATAAATATTTAGAGACCACATAAAATACGCCAAGCGAGTGTCGAGGTACTACACAGGTAACACTAAATAAGATGGACAAGCTTTCCAAACAAAATACTTCTTAGTGAAAAGAGATGAAAGAAAGTGGGCAGGATATTATCATAGAGAACAACTGCGGCTATTCTTCTGAAGAGTTAGGGAGCTCCCTGAGGAAAGGACACTTCATGTTGAGATCTGGATAAAAAGAAGGAACTGGTTACCTGATGTTCATAAGGGGTATTTCAGTGGTAAAGAGAATAGCCAGTAAGCATAAATGCGGCAAATTTGAGAATCTAAGATGGCAAAAAAAAAAAGTGGTACTGTATGAAGTGGAACACAGAGGGGAAGAGGGGAAAGAGGGAAACAGGACACAACAGTCATGAAATTAAATTGTTTCACAAAAGAAAACTATATATAATCAATAATATTTCAATTTGCATGACTAAATTTAATTTATTAGTAAAAGATCTTGTTGATATTAGCAGTTAAAAGGAAAGGAGAATCAATCAAAGGTCTTTCAAGGGGCCTAGTAAATGCAAAGTTTACTGCCAGCAAATAAAATCTCACCTTTGAATCTTTCTTACTCCTAATAGTTTATTACCTGTTGCTTTCCTCCTGCGTTCATCTTTTTTATCCTTTTTATTTGTGTTAAAATTTTCTGAAAAGGAGGCTTCTTTCAGATCTTCTTCACTGATTAAATGCACAGGATTATTTTTTATTTCCTGAAATAAAACATGGTTCTTTTTGACAGATAAAAATATATAGCATTTCAAAATACATTAGAGTTGTTTATTCATTCACATATTCTAATTACTCATTTCATCTCACTGCTCAGAAGAACTAGAAACTTGTCTCACAACTGCTACTCTGAGACTATTTTTCCTTGCTAAGTATCAGTTTCTTTATTTGCTGTTCATGAATTTTTGTACTGATTAATTGATTAGCTAATGAGTACATATGACCATTGAACAACTGGTCACATAGCAACAGCACACAGCGCCTCTTCCGCTGTTACTGTCTGACACAGCTTAATCCATTTACGTGTAGAGTTCCATTTTTGGAATGCCCATAACAAAGGAACATAAAAGAAACCTTTCTCTTTAAATTCTTGTTCCTTAAATTTTTCCAGGTAATGAATTTCAAAAATTCGAATTTCAATGCACTTTCCTGCATAAATGGGTTAACCCTTTTCTTTTTGAGACTCCCAAATCTAGTGTTGCCTGGATACCTGAGATTATAAGAAAGATAGTGAAACTGCCTTATCCCAAACTAATGATCATATGTGAGATGTACATGAATCCATATAAAGTTATTGTTCCTCCAGACTCATTCTTGATGATCCCTGAGTTTTAGAAGTTTGTTAAGATCAATGAACTATTTCTAAGTTGAGAGATTTAGTATCTACTAAATTTAACAGAGCTTCATGAATTTTACCTAGATGAAGTATACAAACAAGATAAATTATAAACGGAAAAAAACCTGTGTTACTAGCAAATTGATTAGTTCTGCAGAGCAACTGCTATCTAAGTATTTTGTAATTAACACCTGTTCCATTTTAATTAGTATTCAATTTGCACCATCTTTATAAAGCCTGCTCTTAGGTACAACAAGCCCCACCTCCAATATCACAAATTAATAAATTTATTCAGGCTTATTAAATATGTAAACAATGTATGTTATACATATACTACATACAGTATACATGAAGTGAATATTTACATATATCCATATGTATTATTTTTCTGCAGTAATTGAACCAATATCCTCAGACAACCTAGCTAAAAATTAAGTCATTTCATTTATGTGATTTTAATTTCTAAAATTATTTCTTTAAGTTCTAACACACATTTGGATGAGAATGAAGAAGAGATCTGAGAAAGACAGTAAGAACGATCTCTTAAAGGAAAATGATGCACAACCTAAAGTGTTCATTACTGTGCAGACTACTCAGACCATTTTTCAGGAGACATCAGGTGATTCTAATGTGACTATGTTGTTAAGATTAATGATGAAAGAATATCTGACATACCTTTACAGCTTTTTGGTGCATCTGTTCACTGAACAGTTTTACACAGTTATTTATAAATTTTTCACTGACCACAACTGTGTTGCTAAAGACTACACCTGAAGCCTGTTTGCTGAATGCTCGCATCACCTGTTGAAGCAACATGGCAGCATCTTCAACTGATAAAGAACTGGGTAGCAGGGGCTAGAATTACAAATGAAAATGGAGTGAAACTACTGTATGATACAGATAAACCAACTGTTACATACACTGAAGACATACACATGTACATGAATATATTTAAATGTACGTAAGTATGCTCTTGTTAGGTGATTTAAGTCCAGTGCATTCAGAAGCATACCCTTCAAATTCTATTTCTGGTTTCATCACTACCCAGAGCTCTAGAATCATATATGCTATTTCCTACCTAATTTACCCACTTATATGTCAACAGGCATCTCAACTGTCCAAAATACTGATACCTACAAGTCACATTTGGTTCTCTCTTACACAAATCCATAAGCAATTTAGCAGTTTATTTCCAAAATATATTTCCTTTTAGCTCTTTCTGCTATCTGGTATCATTTTAACTCTCCCCAATGAAAGTAGCCTCTACCAAGAGCAAAAAGTTTGTGGCTTTCAAAGAAAAAGTACCAATTAAGTTTTGTTGCATGAATTTAAAAAACAAACAAACAAACAAACATCTTGGAAATGTTAGCATTCTTTACAGGAAAATTTCTGCTAAATTATAGAGGCTGTGAGCCCTGACTAGAAAATAATGGATTAGCCACTTGTTTATCTTACCTATACTTATCTTTTTGGCATAATGAAGGGCAGGCCAACATTGAACACTGAAGTAAAACACTATCAGTACTAAAGCACCTTATGGTAATACATTAAGAGATGAATGGATAAGGGATACACAAATGCTACACAAGGCCTGATGACAATAGAAGCTTCGATAAGATGTGAAAAGTCTCATCAATTTTTATGTCAGGATTTATAAGAATCTTAAGTTGTTTGTTTTGAAAATTATAGAATGCTGGATGTTGAATATGCACCTGTAAAAGGAAGGTAGCTCTACTTCAAAAGCTAGAAGGACTTTAAGCATAAAATACATTATTTTTGTTTTAACAGCAAATGCTAGAATTCAACTCTAAAGTCTACTTGAATGTGTTCAAGTTTTTAAAACAGCCATACATTAACAAAATGTCACTTATTGTTGGTTTAAAGAAAAACTAAGAGGAGAAAACATACTGAAATATCAACCCAACTTCCAGAGCTGATGGCTTCCTCTACTGACGCTTCCACTTGATCCACAAGTCCTTGACCAACACAAGCTGCTTTCAAGAATAAGAGTTGTGCAGTCTTATACCTTTTCTTTATGTAGTTTACAGTGTCTGGGATTCCAAGGCGGGACAAAGCATCAAATTCTAGAAACATCACAAAGTTGGATAGAACTGTAAATCACTTACGCCACTTAGAAATATCAGGAGAAGTTAAATTTGAACAAAACTTATTATTTGATTATAAATGTAATACATTCCAATGTTTTTAAGGAATAAAACAGAAATATATTGTAGCCTATATCCTGGTAATTTTACCAACCCAAATTTTTGTTAAAATATTTTTAGAACAATTGGCTCAAGTACTTCCTGAATACTAGATGTTTATTCACTTTTCAATTGGGCCAAAGGAAAACATGAAGAAACATGAAGTCTAGAGAGTATGGAAACTGAAAATATGGGTAAATAAGGTATGTTATGGTTTAAGTGAGGAAATCAAAACTAGTTTCTTTTGCTTATTACAGTTAAAGGAATAAAGTTAGTTTTTTAAAATGTATCACCAGACAACTTAGATAACATAATTCTCCATCTTCATTTAAACTAGAAAAAGGTTTAGCATAAAGACAGACTTTAATTGATAGGTAATAGTTATTGAAGATATCAATTTTCCTCATTCTCCAACCCTTACTAGAAAAAAAATCCTTAGGAAAACTAGTTATAAAGAAGTTCTAACCCAAGTTCTGTGGTTGAAGATACGAAAAATATATTATAAGAGGTTAAAAAAATCATATACACAAATCCTAGGGTCCTAGCATATGTTTAAATTGTTCATTACAGGTTTTTCTTTTGTTTGTAGTACTGGGGATTGAACCCAGATTTGGCAAGTGCTCTACTACCCAAATGCTCCTTCAGCTCTTTATGTTTTTAAAACTGGAGATAGGGTCTCACTAAGTTGCCTAACCTGGCCTTGAACTTTCATTCCTCTTGCCTCCAGCTCCTGAGTAGCTAGGATTGTGGGCATGTGCCACCATGAGAGGTTTTCTTTTGCCCCTGAGAATGTAGTTTGCTGTGCTATAAATTAATCAAACTAAATGAATTTAATATATATTTTTGATCTTTGAATGACTAAATTCAGTCTATTATGGAAGAATTTTAAACACAGAATTCAGAATGGTTTCAATGTTTCTGAAGTATTACACAGCTGACAAAAATGAACACTGTAAAGACAGTAAGATATTTGTAAAATGATGTAACTGAAAAAGTGGGCATCTGCATACAATACAATTACTTTTATGAATTTAAAAACACTTAAAAGCTATGTATCAGTTTAATAAAACTGGATGGTTAATAATAATACCAGTTTTTATCCTTTCTATATTACAACTGTTTTGTAAATGTGGAATTAAGCTCAGTTCTAAGACCCACAGAGACTTTCAATGTGAGTACTTTCACACTCAAAGGAAATCAGTGTAATCTGGTAGGAAAATACAATGTTAAGAATGTTTTAGTATGAGATATTTTGGTTTCAAATTAAAAAACATAGTTACCGAGATAGCCATTCTGCCTGAAAAAAGAATCCACCCAAGTACTCTGTGTCCTGGAGTAGATGTCAGGAATGAAAACTGCTTTATCTTGTCTTCCACCAACCACAGTGCCTCGTAAACGTCCACAATTAACAAGTTCCTCAAGTACAGCTTAAAATAAACCCATGCAAACACAAATAAATCAGAACAAGTATAAATCTTAAAAAGCAAAATACTTTATTATTTCATTCTATGTAATCTTACCATTTTAAAAACTTAAAGTTTAAATAGTATAAATGAAGTTATTATATTTTAAACAGAATTTTCCTGCCATTTATGAAAATACTCAAGCTATAAATGTAAGAAAATTTTTTAGCAATTAGTTAGAGACGTTGAACTTGTAACTCAAAACAACTAATATTAACATTCTAGAATTTATTAGTTTGGATAATCTTGAACAAAAACCAAAATGCCATTATTTATTGTATAATTTGTTTTAGAGTGATCAAATACTTTGAGAACAGATAAGGTGCAATCACTACGTGCTACCAAGTTCAATTTTATCAGATTTAGAAAAATCAAGGCACATGGACCATATTAGAATCAGCAGTGTGAAATAAAGCTGTAAATATTTCTTATGTTATTACATTTCCACAGTTTAAACCAAAAGAACACATTTCAACTGGACCTATAAGAGAAGTATTATTATTGGCTGATTTCCTGATAGCAGCCATTCTTTCTGGAGTGAGACAGAACTTCAGCATTGCTTTAACTTGCATCTTTTCAATGATCAGTGATGTCATTTTTCCATATATTTATCTGCTGTTTCTACTTCTTTCTCTGAGAGATGTCTATTCATTTCAGATGCTTATTTTTGGATTGGGTCTTTAAACTGGGGGGGTGTCTGATTTTTTTGGGTTCTTTATTTAGTCTAGGTATTAGTCCTTTGAGGAAAAGCTGGCAAAAATTTTTCCCACATTGTGGGTTTTCTCTTCACTCAGTTCTTTGTTTCTTTTGCAGTGAAAAAGCTTTTTAATAAGATAAGATCCCACTTGTTGATTATCTATGAGATTTCCTGTGTGATAAGGGTTTTGTTCATAAAGTCTTTGCTTACATCAACATCACCATTCGTCACACTACTGAGGCCAGTTTGAAAACTGGACAGGACCACTATTAATGTAAATTTATACTTTTTGTTTAAAACTCAAAATTTAACATTTTCTTGCTTTAACTATCAAAATCCTCTCAAAAAGACAAAGCAGATATTAAACAGCTACTTCTAAGTGAATCAAAAGCACAATCAAAAGATGTCTGGCAAGCTCGGCGTGGTGGCGCATGCCTATAATCTCAGGACTGGGGAGGCTGAGGCAGGAAGATCACTCTGAGTTTGAGACCAGCCTACCCCTGTTCAAAAAAAAAAAAAAAAAAAAAAAAAAGAAAGAAAAAAAAAAAGATGTCTGGCAAAAAGAAAGGTTTATAAAAATTAGCCTTTAACACTTTAACATGAACTTCAGGATTTCAATGATAAGTAAATAAGTACAGATTTCTCATTAGACTGAAACATATGATTCTCAATTTAGTGTTACTGTACAAAAACTCATTCTAAATTCTGGACAAAATTGTCACGTTATCAATTATTACTTGAATTTTACATTTTAATGAAATGACACTAACTGTTGATTATGTTTAAATCTGTCTCAGGCAAAAATTTAAAATTTAAAATTCATATTCTGGAAAATACAGCGAACAAAAATTAATTTTTTGTTTTGTATTTGAACGTTTTCAACTCATTTTAATTCTTAAATTTCAGATATCCTGCTATAAAAATTACTCCAGTGTAGCATTAAAAATAACCCTCAATATCCTATAAAAGCTTCATAAACATACAAACAACAAATACTGAACCAAGATTATTTTGGAGATAATATGCTGTTTGCATGCTAAGAATTTAACAACACAGTATTTTGATGGTTACAAACTCTCTGTAAAACTTCTGTAGAAAATACAATTTATTTTCATGTTAAAAATTTAATAAAAATCCTAAGAAACAAAGTAAGAATTATTCATAGTCCTACAATTTTTAATCTCTTTCAATGTAGAACAATGTATGTATATACATATTTTCATTTTGTACATGCATTTTTTTCCCATTCCTCTGAAGGTGCCAATACTGTTTGATAAATATACTGGATAGATAAATATACAAAAACATGCAGAAGCTTTTCAAACAATGAACTACTTTAGTAACATTGTATTAAGATTAAAAGAGAAAAAGGCATTAAAATTATTAAGTTTTGAATTAACAGGCTTCTCAGCAGTGAATGTCTCCTGAAGGTCTCTGTGTTAAGGGTTTAGCTCCCAGGCTGTGGAGTTTAGTGGGCGGTCACAGGGTAGGAGGGCTGCCCTTAAAGAGGACTGTGGGACCCTAAGCACCTCCTTTTTGTCTATGTCTCCTGGCTCCTGAGTCAGTGGCTCTGCTCTGTCACAGGCTCCCCACCACCATTATCTGGTATGCCTACCAGACCCCCACAGCAAAGAGTTCCCTCGGTCTTAGATCGGAGACTCAAGAACCATGAGTCAAAATAAGTACCAATTCTTTTTGTTCTTTTTTCGTGGTGTTGTGTGGTGGGAATTGAACGTAGGTCTTTGCATATTCTAGGTAAATGTCTAAAATGCTGTACCACTAAGCTACAGTCCTAGCCCAAACTTTTTTAAAATTAATTGTCTAAGGTATTTCATTTTAGTGTTTGAAAGCTGATTTAACATAAGCAGTTAATGACATGACATAAAATTTTTCATTTGTGTGCTGAGAGTTGAACCCGGGGCCCTGAATATACAGGACAAGTAGTCTACCAGCAAGCTACATTCTGAGCCCAAGTGATACAGAGTTTAAACAAAACTCACAGTAAAGAAGCTGCTCCTGAAATCCATACTTTGAAATCAAAGAATTCACTGCAGTAGGCCTGTAAGAAAGGAAAAAAGAATAAAAATGAAGAATTGAAACTAGTTCATTATAGTTATGTAGGAATTTATAAAAATAACTATGAGAATTAGAGTTTATGGAAAAAGCCTAATAATTTAAAAGGAAAAATGAAGGCTGCATTTGTATGGACTCTGGTAGCCTTACTCTCATTTCATAGAAGCTCCCCTTGTATTGGTTTAGTAAACTGGGATCCTCAAAGAGATTTTGTTTAAAAAAAAAGAAAGAATCCGCTGCTTCAAAAAAATTGGAAATTATATGCAAATCTATATATTTAAATCACACTTACCGGGTAATAGCACTGAATAGTCCACGAATGCGTGCTTTGTGTCGAGTTACAAAAGCTTCAGTAAAAATTACTCCTCTATTATCAAGATCAATATGTCCATTGATAATTTTACCAAGTCGCTGAGTTAGTGCCTGGGGATAAATGTGTAAATTTTTATTGGGAAAATACAAAATTAAACATATGCTCGATATAATCATGCTTAATCCATGCTTCACGCTGATGTATCAATCATGTGACTGAGAAATGTCAATAAACATAAACTATAAGATATATAAACTAAAAGTTCAGAATCTTGTAAACTTCCTAATAGCTGAGCTAAGAAATGAGTCAAATTGCTCATGTGATTAAAACCTTACCAATCATACTGGCCCTTGTTAATAAGCTCTAAGTCTACAATAAAATAAAAATGACTGATTTAACTAATTTTCCAGATTTAGGTAGCTTCCAACAAAAAACAGACAAGACTAATACACAGGTATTACCTGAAGTTTCAAACACTAATAGAAGGGAATAAATATTATTCTAAGATTCTGCTATGTAGGAAAACAAAAGGCCTGGAAAATAATTTTCTTTCACACAAACATTAACCAGTTATCTCTATGTAGAAGGTTTAAAGTGGTTTTTGTTACAGTAAGTCCTGACTTATGAACATTTGAGTTGTGACCTTTCACAGATAGAAATGGATCTCGGATTATGAACATTCACAGATGCGAGTAAATCACAGAATTGGCTCACGTGTCTTCGGACATTGTCACAGTTATGCAGCTGTGTGCTTACTGTATAGTGTGAATAGTGTATATTAGTGCAGTGCTCAATCGTCCACAAACAAGGAAAAGCAGTGGTGATGTAAAGGGTATGCTAGGAAGTGCAAAGCAATATACACTGTATGTTGGTGTCAAAGGAGTAAAGACTCACTTTGTCAGACCTATGAATGAATCCAACCTGTAATGGCATTCATTTGTAAACCAGGGACTTGATCTGTTTTCAGACTCAAGAGATTATTTCTCCACCATTATACTACGAGTCGGTACATGTGAAATAAGTCTGGACATATTTCACATCCCAAAATAAATTAAATCTATTGAAGATAACTGTGCTGGTACTTTTGTGACAGAGAAAAATAATAACTTAATGAGTTTTTAGCATACAGAAAAATTACAATTAAAAAATATTAAGACGAGAGGTATTTCCAGAAAATATGCAGGAGCACAGTTTTATAAGAAATCATTATATTCAAGTGTAGTATTTTTAAAGTGTTTTAAAAACATAGTGTTTGACTTCCTGTGATTAACACGTATTCACTCATGTGAAGCAGAACTTAGGCTCCTGAAATGCTATATAAAACAGATCTATACTCTCTACATGGTATTTTAAATGAAGTAGGGGAACTCACTCACATAATATAGCTGAGTTTGTTCACATTACAAATTAATCTCATGCAATTATGATTCGGTAAATTTCTAAGTTGGATTTTATTAAAATTTAGATATGCAGTTAAAATGAGATTTGGCTTTTTCTTCATTTCAGTAAATAAAAACAAAACTATGATTTATTGAGTGCCTTTACTGTGCCAGATATTTCACTAGATACACCTCATTGAAGCCTATGAAAACAGATGTAATTATGTCCATAGATATGCAACTTCAAGCACAAAGGAAATGAAGTAATTTTCTTAATGTCAAGTGGCATAGACAGGATTTAAACTAAGCTCTGTTTAACTCGAAGCCTATGCTATGTTCTATTATATTGAAAGGGCTTCTACAATTCTAAAATGTCAAACTACTTCAAAAAAACAAAGATATAGCTTCTATTGTTATTACAATATAAATCAAGATACTCAATGTGTGTATTAACCTAAGTATCCAAAGTTAAGAGAAGGTGAGATTGTTTAGCTGTTCTTCCTATGATACTGTCAGTTTAGAGGAGAAAAAAGACATCAAAAGACACTGGCAATAACATTTTCGCAAACAAAACCCACTGCTGAAGAGGCTGTCTCTGCACTGTATCATGGTTAGCAGGATCCCTGACCTTCACTCACAATGTGCCAGTAGTACCTTCTCTAAATTACAATACTAAGCAGATATTTCTTAAAATATTGTAGATATCCTGGCTAAAGTTTCTGTATAGGTGGTGTCAGAAGCACTAAAAAAATTCATGCACTTATGGTGTACTTGCTCTTGCATCAAGACAATGATAGAGCTTAGTCTACTAATTGTTTTTAGAGTATCTTATGGTTCAGGAACATTGTATTTCTAAACAGTCTCTTCAGAGTCATCCATGTATAAGAAGTACTTCCTAAATATATAGCTACAACATTTATCAAGTCATATATTTGCAACAAATCAACTTAAAGTAAGAAAATCTAGTACTTTTCTCTTATTAAAATTTACTGTTTAAAATTATTTGTTAAAAAGACACATGATACTATGAAGGAAAAATACCTGAGTTAGAAAGTTTCCAGGAAGGTCATAGGTTTTGCACAATTCTGATATGGTTACCTGACCACTTTCTTGCAATTTATCATTTACCTCTTCTGCTAACTGATCCAAATAGTTCCTAATTTTGAGCAAAAGAAAGAAAATGAAAAAGAAATTAGAAATAATGGTTTTCCTCCATTTTCTCTATTTTTTATGCTTAATTTTTATGTTTAATTGACGAATATGCCCCAAAAGTAACAAGTAGATACATTCATTACTCATATTACAAAACTTGGTTTTTTTCTTGTCATCAATGTAAGTAAATGTAAAGTTAATCAAATGACAAATTTTGGGATTATTTTTTAACCAGAAAATTTTACAGTCATTTTTCATTAAGATTTTTGGAAAAAAATTTGCTTTCAAAGTTAAGATCTTATAGGAAAAACTGAAAGAGTTATGTTTGTATTAAACAGGTAAAAAGATAAAAATTTATATTATTTATGAGTATGTATTCCACGTAATTATGCACTTCACTTGCTTTTTAAGGTGGATGATCCTTATAATGAAAATCAGCTCTAACTAAACCTGGCTTCAACTGGCCTAAATTTAAATACTAAAGAAAACAAAGTCCTCCTAAATATTGTACTTACTCATCTATTAGTTGTCCCAAAATTAGATGAACATGTTTTTCTGATTTAACAATGTCACTAATTCTATTTTCAATATGAGTCAAGTCAACATTAATTACCTGGAAAAAAAACAGAAATTCTACTAAAATAAGTTTTTAATGTTTCTTAAGTTTGAAATAATACATTTAGAATTATAATTTTTTAATAGGTTATTTGCTCTTGGATAAATTTTGATTTGATATAAAATATTTTAAAATCCTTAGTAAAATAAAAAATTAGTGATGTATTGCTATTTATTTAAGTTCTGAAGAATTATTTTCAATTGATAGCAAAATGCATATTAAGCAGCATTCTATATTTATATATAATAGACACCATTTCACAGATTTTCTACTTTCCTGTATATAGTGTACCTTGGCAATCACATATGCATTTTTGAAAATATCTTCTACTTTTACTTCCACATTCTAAAAACATAAACAGTAATTTTTCTCTCCAAAATACAAAAATTGCAACTATACAAAATGGTATTTAAGTTGGTTTGTTAAGTGGTAAGCAATCAATCAATAAAGAACTTATTAAATCAATTCAATGTATCAGAACTTACTAAATATTTCAATATTATCAGTGAGGGTTATATAACTATTTCTTCACAAATATTCAAAATGTAAGTACTAGGAATACCTTCAAAAGCACTGAACAAATTCATAGCATTAAAATTTGAGAAATCGAAATTTACCTGTTGTAGATCAACAATGTTAACTCGACCTTTAAAGAAAAAACATTATTTTAAATTACGTGTAAGTAAAACTAGCCAAGCAGTGTTAAATGCTAATAAATATGCTCTGACCAGTCCAAATCCTTCTACAAAAGACAAAGAGGCATGATCATCAATGTCTTCATTATAAACCATTTGCTAAGTTTCTGTGGTTGAAGCTATAAGCACTAATTTATTTTCCAATTTTTTTAAATTACATAAAGTTGACATCACAACTCTCAATTTATCTATTGTAACCAAAGAGACTTTGATAGCTAAATTAAAATGAAATTTTTTTCAACTTATTTGAAACTAAAAGGCAGGTTTTTTATAGCAAAAGAAAATCTGTTAAGTGTTCCAAATTATAGCTTGTTACTGGAAGTTTGCAGGAAAATAAAAATAAACACCAAGGTTATACTCCAAAACATGTAGTAAAGAGTTGCTTCTATTTTAATCAGACTATTCAATTTACTCAATTCAAATTTTTAAAAGGCAAAGGAAAGCAATCTATAATCTAATAATCTTTTTTCCTCCCCCATAATTACCACCTGATAATTGGCAGCTAAGTACCCTCCCTTGGGTTATGTAATAAATTAATGAATTGTAAAAAGAAAGTTAACTCACATACAGTATGTATAATACAAACTAATAAAAATATTATTTTGTTAAGTGATAATACTCGAGCATGAACCTACTAAAAATACTAAGGCTGATTACCAAGTTTACAATTGAGAAATGGGATATAGTTCAGTGGTAGAATGTGCTTAGCATTTGAGAAGCCTTGGATTTTTCTTTCCCCAGGAATTAGGAAGGACAAAATTGAGAAAGGTGTTCTGTAATCTCTAAAGAAAACATTTACTTAGTTATGATTTTTAAGTAGGTGTTTTTTTTTTTTTTTGGCCTCCCCCAAATCCAGGATTGGGGAGCTACTGAGAAATTACTTACCACCTCGGACATGTAGCTCATCTCTCATTTCCTTACTAATCTGGGCTGGAGTAATATATTCCTTTCCATCAAGTGTGTGAACTACTTCTAGCTGTTTCTGAGCAATCAGCTTATTCACAATTTCAATACAGTTCCGCTCTGACAACCTGAAGGAAAAAAAAAAGTTTTAGAAAATTTTTGATAAATTGATATTAAATAAAATGCAAAGCATATGAGCTCAGGCTTTCAAAAGTTTGAGTAAAGAGTCACTGCTTTTATATTACAAAATCTATACCTTTCATTATACAATACTGATTCAGTAAATAACAATAAAATCTCGAGAGTAAGCACTTAAATAATTTACTTAACTGATATCCATCATTCTAGAAATGGCAAATTTGCTTTCTTCTGGGCCTGCTTTGAATCTTCAAGTATGAATAGAAAACTGAGGATATGTAATTTAGGGAGAACGCTCGTCCTAGTTTCACTTCATTTTTTGGCTTAAATTTTTCTTATGAAAGTGCATACTGGCCTCACTCATTGAGTCTGCAGGTAGATTTGGCCTAGTAAAAACATAACTGCTACTGGATAGCCACACATCGTGGCCCCGTTTGTTTTTAACCTCTCAGTGTTAGCACAGTATCAAAGAGGTTACTGTCTTTGGGTCCTGAAGGAATAAAATCCCAGGTGAAGAGAATGGATCAAAAGGATTCTGTTCTCTATGCACAACGGAGAACAATGTTAGGATGTTTCAGATACATCCCTCGAAGGTTCCTACGTTTGTAGAAAATGACAGTGGCCCGGAGTCCCTAATATGACAGATGGCCTCATGGGTCTGGCCTATATTTGTTATAAAAAAAAAAAACGTAGAAAAAAATTAAAGAATGAATGTGCTCTTTGCAAAGTACTATATTTGGAGTCCGTCTCTCCTTTCATACTATTTAGATCACAAGTGCAGCAAACAATAATGCCACGAGGACGTGGCGGAGGGTGGGTGAGCAGGATCACAGGGACACTCAACAGCCGGGTCACCAGCCTGGGCTATCGCTGGGCGGGGCGCCAACCCCGGGCTAGAGCGGGGCCGGGCGCTGGGGCGTCTTAGCTAGCGGGTTTCCCGGCCGAGACTTGGACTCGGAACTGTGGTCCAGGCTCGGGCGAAGGGAAGAGAACCTGGCCAAGGTAAGGAAGGTCCGGGGTCCAAGACCAGGGATCTAAAGTCTCAGTTCCAGACAAGTCCACCCTGGGCCTAATTTGGATTCCACAATGGAGAGAAAGGGTCCAGCACCTCTGCGTGGCCTCGGCAAACTGCGCCCGTTGGAAGTCGGCTGCCAACCGCCTAATCTCTTCCCAGGCGTCCGCCATCACGACCTGACTAGCCGAGACTCAGGAGCTGCAGACACGTCAGCCCAAAGAGCACAGTCGAAGAGGCGGCGAGACGGAACGGGCCGCGCGCAGGGCCAAGACTCTCCGCCTCTGACGCAATACCAAACGCGCACGCCCCGCGCGGGAGGGAGCTAAGCGACGAGCTCGGCCCCGCCCACCCTCCGCGGGCGCCCTTTACCCTGCTTGGATGGTGGGGTTGGGGAGACCCTAGGGAGGGTGTGGAATGATACCCAGCCGATGAGGAGAAAGACCGCTTCATAAAGTGTTGTTAGAGATATTTGCATTTTCCTGCTGATTTTGTGGAGTGATAATTAGCTACTTTTTTCTTCGTTTCTTTGTTTTTGGGGGGTGGGATGGAGACGTGCTCATTCCTATAATCTGCATACCCTCCTCTTTCTCTGGCTGTTAACTTTGTCCAGTGCACTTTGTTTAGGGAATTGCTTTGATTTTAACTGGCCTAAAGCGAAATACCCACAACTGAAGGTAATCGCTGTTTATTTTGACTCACACAAAAGGAATAAATTTGGATATCATGAATGCTTTCATGTATCTTTGTTATTTCTCTTATGGGGAAGATTAGCTTCATCAAATAATGAAATCTAAACATAAAGTAATTTGTTGTAGGTTACTACAATACCCAGTGATCCACACGTTAGGATGAGTAGAGTTGATATGTATTCTGGAGTACCTGTGTCTTGCTGTTTTACTTTTATATCCCACTCTTCAAAAAAATACATTATTCCTTTTCATCAGAAGCTCTTTTGGTAAAAGGGGAGTTATTTCAGTTCCTTTCCCATCTATTATTTTGACTAATCACACCCAGGGCCATGAATGTACTTATTCTGTTTTTCAGCTTTATTTTAACTTGCTCCGAGTTCTGTCATAAAAACTGTTATTGAGCACGATAGCAAATCGTGATGCTTCCTGGCAATCTGATGATGGACCAACAGGTGGAATCCTGGAAGTCAACGAGGTAATTTGGAAGCTGGTGGTCTGGGTCCAACAGTATCAGGCTGTAGAACAAGCAGAAATATTTATTCCTAAACAAATAATAAATGATTAATCATAGAGTACACTGCTGGATAAGGAGGACATGACACTGTCATAACAAACCACAAATCCAATGCAGTGGATTTAAAGAATAAGTACTTAAAATGAAGTATAAAAATTCGAAGAATATTGTGGTGCGTGCCTGTAATCCTGGCTTCTGGAAAACTGGGGCAAGAAGTAGCAAGTTTGAGCCCGGCCTGAGCAAATTAGCTACTTAGCAAGAGCCTGTCTCAACAGAGCTGTGTGTACTGATGAGGGGAGGTGAGGGTTGCTCAGTGTGAAAGCTTGGGTTCAATCCACAGTACAGAAAAACGCAAGCAGGCAAACAGAAAAAAATAATGATGGAAGGATCCTATATTATGTGATCACTTGGCACCTGAATATTTGCTTACCATTTGAAATATTCATAGCCAGCTTGGAGTCTACTTCCTGTTAACATCTGCTGTTGCTGCCACCGCCACATGACACATATGGAATAGTTTGTAGGTAAAAGACACCTTAGCCCTTACAGGAATCCATGCATTTTCTTCAGTGCCTGTCTGCTACATTAGTGCCCATTCTTTCCTTTCTTACAACATGTTATCCCAGCTTAAATAAAACTTTAAATGAAACCCATGGACAATATTCTATATGTTGTGTCCCAACAATTCTTTAAGAATTCTCTAATAGCAAATAAAACTGTAGTAATTTTATTTATCTGTTGTATCCAGTAGTCTCTGAGCTTCTCATTATTTAGCATGGCAATCTATATTATAGTATTGGTGTATTCTATATATGTTTGTTATAAGGATAAGTCAGTTTTGGTGCTACGTTATATTATGGTACAGTAATAGTAATATGTTAATGTTATCAGCTATGATTCTTCTTTTAAAAATAGAAGAATTTAAAATTTATTCCTTCAGTTGTACTAGGTACACTTTAAATGCTCAGTGGTCACATGTGGCTTGCGGCTTTGTATGGAACAGTACAGACAAACATTTTCATCTCAGCAATTTTTATTGTACAGCTGTGGCCTAGACCTTTTATAATGATGCACATTTGTTCAGACCCTGAGATCATACATGTAAAAAAACTATGTCTACTTAGCAATCACGTATTCTAACTGCACTGTCAGTGATTTTTAAATGGGGAAGAAACTTTTGAGTGGGGGATATTTCATTTTTAGCCAATATCTGGTCAAATTTAGAGAAACTTTAAGCAATATGGAGTATGAATAGAATAATGATAAGAAACCCAAGTGGCTATTTGATAGGAAATGGGAGAATTCTTTAAAGAATGAGCTTTGTATATACTTAGGGAATAAAGTTTTCACTATAAAATTTTCTAATAGCTGTGTGTTTCTATAACTTCAGGTGAATTTTGAAATATAGGTAATGTGCAAAGGACTGATAGGATCTTCAGCTCCACTATGTACTGATTTGTGGCATTCCCAGAATCATTTTTTTTTACTTTGCCTTTTAATTGATATATAAAAACAAAAATCAAACACAGTAATTGGCATCACGTGACATATGAATACACATTTGCACATTATGTAACGTTTAAACTATGTTAAATAGGTCTCCTCAACCACCTGTCATTTCTTCGTGGTGAAAGCATTTGATATCCTTTCTTTTGGTTTTTGAGATACAGACAGTGTTAGTTGTATCACTGACATTTTTGGGGTTAAGAATTATCTTAATCTCCTACCATCAAAATTGGTATTAAAAACCTATATATAGAAAGCACTAGTCCCTTATAAACTCCTATGAATTGTGAATAGAAGGAAAGAAAAAAGATTATTGAAAAAGATGAAAATTATTGGAAAAGCAAGAAAGTAAAAATAAATAGCTAACAATACCCCTTCAGAGCAAGAGGAATGAAAATAAATGCTTTGACAATTGATTATTTCAGCAAAGGTGTTGTAATTATTTTTTCTGGCACTGTGGATTGAACCCAGAGGTACTCTGTTTATCTGTCTGTCTATCCATCTATCTATCTGTCTGTCTATCTATCTATCTATCTATTATCACTCAAAGAGGAACATGGGACAAACAGAAGGAATAGTTGATTTATGCTATTATATATAGAGGCTGAGAACTCCCATGAATTGTAAATTGGAAAACTGTGGAAGTCAGTGCTATAGTTTGGTCCATGTTTCACATGCTTGGGAACCGGGAGAACTAATGTCTGAATGAGTGTGAAGTTAATGTCCCAGTTCCAGCAGAAAATCAATTTACTCTTCCTCCATAATTTTGTTCCACTCAGGCCCCAATGGATTGGACAATGCCTATCTGGCTTGGTGATGGCCCGCCCACCTGAATACTCATTTATTCTAGAAATGCCCTCACAGACTCCTCCGTGGCATCTTTGCCACAGTCAAACTGACGCATATAATTAATCATCACAAAAGGAATATCTTACGAGTAAATAGGAATAACTGGAATAAGAATAAAGATAGGTGATTAAGCATTAAGTTGGAAGAAGACATGAAAAGGGTTTATGATAATGGAGAAGGGAGAGCAAGACCCTCAGGGTCATAGAATCAGAATATCAGGCCAATGAAGAGTCTTTAAAACATCCATACTAATGGCCTACTGCCACAAGAATAATTGTTCTACAAAATTGCTGGTAGATAGTTTTTGCTTGAACTCTTAAAGTGATGAAGTATTCTTTTCTTTGCAAGATAGCATAGTGCATTTTTGGCCAGATCTGTTAGAAATCCCTTCTTTGCCCAGCAAGATCTGTTTCTCTGCAGTTTCTATATGCTTTCCTTGGACAAGACAGAGAATGACTGAGATATATCTTTCCTATGACAGCTATTCAAATATTTGAAACAAGCCTCTCTTGTTTTCTTTTCAAAAGTTAAAAAAAAAAAAACACCAAAACCCCAGATGCTCTACTTATATCCTGACAAAATCCCATGTCTCAATTTGCTGAACCCTGGCAGGATAGAACAATTGAACAACTGGTTTGCCAATGTCAATTTCAGAAGGTGATGTCCAAATGGAATTTAGTATTTTACACATATTTTGACTTGAACAAATTACAGTGAAATCAATTTTGCTGATATTTTACCTCTGTTAATTGGATTCTTGGCTTAAATAGAGCTAGTAATGAATTGTAATTGTTTGGTATTTATCTAAATTGCTATCAAACCAGGTTTAGTCTTTTCTTTATCTGAACAAATTAGTTTTATTCACTAAATTTCACTGTTGGTTTTGATTGATTCATTCTTTCAATAAATGGTTTGCATTTATTTATTTATCTTTTTTAGTACATTTGCAGTATAATGACTACCTCCATCATGGAAAGTTGGTGGTACATATACTTTGTTTTTTTTGTTTTACTTTGTTTGTTTTGGTATTAGCAATCAAACTTGGGACCTTGCGCTTGTAAGGCTGGTGGCAGAACCACTGAGCTAAATCCCTGGCCCCAATATGTATACTTTGCCACAAACAAAAATACCTTTTCAAGTTTTGTATGGCAGTCTTTGTGTTATGCCGTGGGGACACCATGGAGAAAAAGCTGTTCAATCCAGTTCAGATCATTTAAAAAATTATATCTTGCATTCTACATTATGTCTACCATCACCTGTCATTACAAATTGGGAAATATAGCTATGTCTTTATTCAAGTGAATATCAAGATTGATTAAGAGAAAATCAGGGTCCTATTCCTGTCATAAGCATGTGACTTTGATTTACAGGGACCCTCGACTTAAAGTTTTTGGAGCTACAAAACATCTTAACATCTAGCAGTCTTTTATTTATTGTACAGGAGACAATCAATACATTTTTGCATATTATTGTCTTGAGCTATATTTCATGGAAGAAGAAGAAGATAAAGAGGAAGAGGAAGAGGAAGAGGAAGAAAGAGGGAGAAGATAAGAATGCCATTTTATTATCACACTCAAATTTGCAGAATTCAAATTTATCAGTCTTCCAAGCAGTAAGTTTTTCAGGAATCGATTTAAAGGAACTCAGATTTGTTCCTAATAATCACCATTTTCTTAATCTAAATCCTAAAGAACCATCCTTTTAACAATTTGTTTTAGTACATTTTTTGCTCTCATGTTTTTATTTTTCTTCTGACTACTAAATGAAATTTAAAAGTCTCTTTCTATTTTTTTCAGGTTTCATTGAAGAGTGAGGAGCGAGATTTTTTGTCATCTGTAAGCTTTCTTAGGAAAGCAAGGACTACCATCACTTTAGGCTCACGTCATTTTATCATTTTGAATATGGTCTTTGTAGTCTGGCTTATGGTGTTAAATGCATGCAAATACTTTCTAAACTATAAAATTATTTCTCTCTGTTTACATGCCAGTTGTTCCTCACTAGTGTTATTTGTATCTATGTTGTCAGAATTTCATTTTAAAGCCATATCCTTGTGAATATTGTGCTGTACATATATTTTTTTCCCCAAAGCACAAAGTATTCTTTTGTTTCCAAGGGAACAAACTCTATATTAGTCTTTCCTGGTTTTGTTGTTGTTGTTGTTGTTGTTGTTGTTGTTGTTCCTCAAATTTCTTCACTATGCTGTACTTAGAGTCAGACTCATTAGCTCCAGGCATAACTTGCGGTTTGGTTTATATTTCTCCTCAGTATAACTCTCAGGCAAAATGACAAAAAGGCCCATCAACAAAGGAACATGTTAGTATTTTTGTCAGTGGTTGGGTTCTATTCTCGGATAAGCTAAAATTATTTTATTTCATCAACAAAATGTGATTTAAAGAAACATTGCCAGCTTGTACCACTGCTATGGCAATATTGTGTCACTATGGAGCTGATAGTCATAGGAACAGTTTCTGAGGAAATAAATAGTGTCTATGCCTCCTGCCATGCAAAGAAAAACCCAGACTGGCTCAAACCTGTAGGATCAACTTGTATCCTCCTTTTCTCCTTTGCTCTTTCTCTTCTCTACATTTCCTCCTCTTCTTTCTCCTTAACTTCCTCACCACCTTCATCTTCTCTTTTTCTCCATTAATCTGTTATCAACTACACTAATAAGATGATATATTAAAGGAACTGAGCACTTGTAGCAGATGCCATGCTACAGCAGTAGTAGTGTAACATCTGGGAGCTGTTAAGAGCCACGGTTGGTGTTCTTAAAATTCATCATCCTAGATTCCATTCTAAGAAGATTGTTTCTGAAAGAAAGTTCCGATCAAGTTGCTGAAAATGACATCAAGAATACCTGTCATCTAAATTCAGTAGGTAAAATTGTCTTTAGATACATTGATTCACAAGCTGTGTTATAATGAGTGTTCACAGTAATCCAAGATTCTCATGCATTTGTTTCTTTGAATCATGAAAGCCATACTTATATTTTTAAGCAGATCAACTGTGTGAGGGAGAGATTACTGCTGATAATTGTTATTTTACATCATAGTAGTTAATTTCTGAGTTGTTTCTACATGGACTAGACATTTATTGTCTTGCTGTACATCTGTTTGACCTCAGCAATTCCAATTGATTTCACAGGATCAGCAGAAGCACAACATATGAGCTAACACTTATTCTGCACCCAGGGTAGACCACTAATCAAGTATGGCATTTGTCTTACTAAGCCAGGAAATAGCTTCCAAATAATGTTCCAGCCACTTGCTAACACTGTATTAGAGTTGACACTATGAAATATATTTGCCATTCCAGAGCAAGGCCATTCCTCTGAGAAATAGCCTCATGTAAAGAAACCTAGGAAAGAGGCATCAGAAATATGAGGGTCACTGATGGAGATTAGTTCCAGAAAAGAGAAAGACAGAGAGAGAGAGAGAGAGAGAGAGAGAGAGAGAGAGAGAGAGAGAGAGATCCTATTTTCTCAAAGGCTAAGAATTGAGAGAAGATAACTCTTGTTTGGACTTGGGGCTGGGTATAGGTTAGAAGTTAAAAGAAAATAAAACTTTGGAGTGTGTCCATAGATTCACAGATTGTCTAGGTAGCCATCACTCAGATTCCTCTTATTCTGGTGTGTGTGTGTGTGTGTGTGTGTGTGTGTGTGCGGGTGCGTGTGTGTGTGTGTGTTCCAAGGTGGTGCCTAATTGTGACACCATATCATGGGAGTTCTCTATATTGCATGATGCAATAGCGTAGTGAAAAAGAAATTTTTTCTGGTTTTGCTGTCCTACAACAGAAAGATGCTCTTTCTTTTAACTCAGTAGTTTTCACTTTTTGATCTTATGAAACTTGCAATCTTAAACATTCTAAGGACCTCTCAAAGAGTTTTTGTTTACATGGGTTGTGTCTATCAGTCTGTATCAGATTACAAATTAGAAATGTGTCATAGTTCTTAAAAATAACAACAGTAAATATCCATTAGCAATAATATTTTACAAAAGATATCTAGAATGAAAATTTATTCTAAAATAAAAATTTAGTGAGAAAAGTGCCATTGTCTTATGTTTTTGTAATTTTTAAAAATATTCAGCTTAGTAGAGTGTTAGTAGCTTCTTCATTTATGCTATGATGTAATAATACTTCCTGTATCCTTTGGAATACTTTCCTGTATGTTCATTAGAAAATTAGAGTGGAAAAGAAAAAAGAATGTCTTAATAATGTTTTGAAAGTAGATTTTGACCTCACAAACATCCTTTGTTGTGACATCCTTAAAAAACTAATATTACATGGTTATGGGGTATGGGAAATAACCACTGAAAAAAGGCAGAGATACAAGGGAAAGGGTGAGGGAGTCAAAGGGGAGAGAGCCGAAGGAGAAAAATCTCAGAGGTGGCAGAAAATACGTGAAAACATAGATAGATGGTGGGCTGGAGATAGTGCCAGAAGATTTCCATGTCAAATTCCTGGAACCTGTGAACCTTATGTTATAAAAGATGTAATAGATTTATGGCTCTAGGAAGGAAAAGTTTATCCTGGGTTATCTGGGTGGGCCTTAAACATTGTCACAGGAGAGATGCAGAGACAGTTTTGAGATAAACACTCAGAGAAGAGACCCATGGAAGGAGACCAGGTGATGAGTTCTCGAGCCAAGGCAGGAAGTGGAAGAAGTGAGGAGAGAAAGATGTTGTTGTTTTTAGCCGTGAAGTTTTGAGTAACTTTTTACAGCAGCCGCAGAGTACTAACACTGATGGGCCGAGCTTGGATATCAGAAAGGAAGACACTGGATATCAGAAAGGATCCTTTCTGACACTGTGTACAAAGGAAAGCATATTTGCACACTGAATGGAAGCTGCAGTGATGCAGTAGTTGAGTAATTAGAGATTGTTCCGTTTACAAATGATAATGTCTCAAAACATTTCTGATCTATTTGTAGATAACTTAAAATTTAGGCTAAAGTTCAACTATAGTAAAACTTCTTATTTTAGATCTTTAAGTATGTATATAGTTGTAAATATTGAGTCAGATAGGAAAACAAGGGACAATGATGACATACCCAGCTACTCAAGGTGTGAATAATGTTTATAAATTAGAAATTTCCAATTGCTTTTCCCAAGATCAAAATGATTTCCATAACAAGATTGCTTCTTTGCAATATTGTAACAATACAGTGTTCTAGTTTGTGATACATTGGAACATATTAAATTCTAATATATCGTCCTCATAAAAATCTGTAATATTGTCATGATTGAACATTGCTTCAAAACTTGGTAAATACATTGTTTTATTAATCTTGTGTTTGTCATCATATTTATCCGGGCAGGTTGGGGGACATTTGGGTGATATTTGTTGTTAACAGAAGGATGAATTAATTTTGCACCATCAGTTGGCATTCTGTAAAATTCATTCACTAAATAATTGCTTACTGGAGTTTTCCATCATTATAGCTGAGAAACAGAGGCACATCTGTGCTCCTTGAAATATGAAACACTCTTCTTTCAGCAAATGACACACACTAGGATAGGAACAGATGAAAAAGATGCAGTAGTTCTATTTAAGCCTGCTATTACAGCACTAAGAGGCAGGATTGAACTATACCTAGAAAAGTCATAATCATATAGGGGCTCGGGCTTCACATATTTTACTTCTATCTATAATAGTATTCTTTTGGCTTACTTGGTAGAAATAAACATGGAAATGCAAAAAGAAATAGGAAATATTTAGAAGCCCATAAAGTATTAACAGTTATTTGTGAGGCTGGTGTGAGAAGTTTAATACACGGTCATCTTTAACAAACTTAGAAAGCTCTCAACAGGCAGCATGAAATCATGCTCTAACCCAGAAGGATTTGTTCCCCCTGATTTACATTTGCTTAGTAACATGGAAGCCAAATATTGGTAAGGGACATTGTGCTTGTGTGTGTGTGTGTGTGTGTGTGTGTGTGTGTGTGTGTAAAATGCAGGATAACCAAATCCTAGAGGCAGTTTTTAGCATTTCAAGAAACATAAAGTATCTTTGCCTCTAATATCAACTTCCTTTATTTCCTTTCCTTTCTCTAACATCCACCAGCATTATATGCTACCTGAATTTAGACGCAACGCCCTTAGTTTTGCTTCCAACATATGTGCACAGTACTTTGGATGGAATAGTAAATTGCTACTATGTTGGTTCATCATTATAATAATTACTTAACTATTAAGTGGTTCATTTAATTTTTTATAAGATATTCATATTAAAAAGTATATTTGAATTAAAAATAATATTAGTTCTATGTTTTGATTTTAATTTTTTAACGTGTTAAGGGCTCTTAATTGGTCAAACAAAGTACAGACTCATAAAAATCTCCTAAAATAGCCTTTCATGTCTTTCCTTGCTTACTAGTCTAGCTTTGGCTTCGTCTTTCTTAGCTCCCATCATTAAGCCTTTGGATTCAGTGACATGAGACAAGTTGCGATGCTAGAAATGTGCTAGATTCCCTCCGGGCTCTGCCTGTTTTCACAGAATGATCTACCTTTCTAGAATACCCTTTTTCTCTTCTTAATCCCTGGCAAAGTGGGTTTCTCCCTCCTCTTTTCTCCAGTACTTTTTATCCGCTCTCTTCTTGAACAACATAAAAACCTTAAAAAATGTCAACTTTCCTACTTACTTGATTTTAAAATTTTATTTCACTATTTTTAGTTCCCAGGTTAATTATAATTTAGAAAAGTTTTAAATCAATTTTCTTTCCTCCAAGTTTCATCTTTCATGTACTTTTCTTTGTTGGTTCCATTTTCATTGTTATACGGTGAACTTGTTAGTAGCTCTTTCTGCAAAGGGTCATTAGTAGTAAAATGATTATAGTGTTTTTCTGTTTACAATCAAATCCACAA